AGCCACGTGACAAGCCTCACTGGGTCAGTCTACTGAGGAAGAACAGAGTGATTGGTCGCAAGCTGTATATAAAGGAGAGGGAACTTTTTGTGTTGGATCTAAAGTTTTAACTACCAACACACCCACAGGGGCTCATTTGGGGAACGCATCAGCTGTCCAGATGGAAAACAGGCTGATCCAATGGGTGGCAGACCTGTTCGACTACCCCGCAGGGCATGCTGGGAACATTTCATCGGGAGGTTCTCTCGCCACTCTCACGGCGTTAGCCGTCGCACGGGACAGCAGGCGACTCAAAGCCGCAGATTTTCACAGGTAAATATGTGGTTTCGCTCAAATTGCATGAGCTCAAGATATTGCTTCCTATCACTTGATAGGACTTAAGTGACCAACAATAACCCAGCCGAATGAGAAACTTCCATGTCCTCTCTCCACAGATGTGTGATCTATTGTAGCGAGTTTACCCATTATGCTGTGCAGAAGGGACTTGGAGCTGTTGGAANCAGATTATACAGATGCGTCGTCACCCGTGTTAGACCCCCCCCCTACGTTATTTGAGTTTGGACTGTTACTGGAAAAAAACGTTCAAGAAATTCTTACTGTGTTGAAAGTGTCACGACAGCGCCGCAAAATATAATAAGAGAAGATGTTATAAAGGAAAGAATCAGAACAGGGTGACTACTGCTGTTTTGTTAATTTGTCTTTATGACAAATAGAAGACTTGTTTCTTGTGTTCTTTGTGTCCTAACATTTGTACTTCTACAGTTAGTATATTCCAAATCTAGGCATCTCGTTTTTCGGCCATTCGTGTTTTTATTGCGCGCTTGCCTTAAATGTAAGGTAATTAGATTTAAGGTCTCCAGTGGACGTCATCCATAGCAATTACTTGGTGTGGCCGTAGAAAATAATCTGACATATGTCCAACCTATCCTCCCCCTGCTGAAGTTATAGTACAATCCCTCAATGTAACGTCATTTGATCCCATCCCATTATGGGGTTCCCAGGCGGTAACGGCTATATCCAGCTGTCGGCTGTCTCCAAGCAGATGTAGGTGGGGGATTTCTAAACACAAAAGGTCCTATTACGGGGACATAACGATCTCCACGACTCTCATCTTTGAACTCAATCTTGGAGATCACCACAGTAACATGCCTATCAAATTTCATTAACTTCCATCCACACATACAAAAGTTATCCTGCTCACAAGAAAAATTAACAAAATGCCCCCTGTAGTCACAACGAAACCCCCACGAAGCTCAGTAACGAACTTAACCTTGGTCCCGACAATAGTTAGCACCACACCAAGAATTATAATCAACATTTTACAAATACTTGAGTTATTTTGCTAACAAGCCACAAACACAAAAGGTGCACTAACGTGACGCACGGACCCCCCACGAAGCCGAAACTTGTACTTGAATTTGGCCTCAACAATGGTAATCTGCCTGCCAAAAATCATGGACGTCGAATCATGCCTTCCAGAGTTATATTGCAAAATCCGCAGTTCCCCACACTCCGGCGAGACAATTTCATAGTCCTTCTGACGAAGACAATTATTAAAACTGTTACTGTTGAAGTTAATAGACCTTCTTGATAGACAGTAGTGACTGACCCAGTGAGGCTTGTCACACTTGGCAAGAAGCCACGTGACAAGCCTCACTGGGTCAGTCTACTGAGGAAGACCAGAGTGATTGGTCGAAAGCTGTACTAAGGAGAGGGAACTTTTTGTGTTGGATCTAAAGTTTTAACTACCAACACACCCACAGGGGCTCATTTGGGGAACGCATCAGCTGTCCAAATGGAAAACAGGCTGATCCAATGGGTGGCAGACCTGTTCGGCTACCCCGCAGGGCATGCTGGGAACATTTCATCGGGAGGTTCTCTCGCCACTCTCACGGCGTTAGCCGTCGCACGGGACAGCAGGCGTCTCAAAGCCGCGGACTTTCACAGGTAAATACTAGTATGTGGTTTCGATCAAATTGTATGAGCTCAAGATATTGCTTCCTATCATTTCATAGTACTTAGGTGACCAAGACTAACCCAGCCGAACGAGATCAAAATGTCCATGTCCTCTCTCCACAGATGTGTGATCTATTGTAGCGAGTTTACCCATTATGCTGTGCAGAAGGGACTTGGAGCTGTTGGAATGCGGGAGGCCGTTCTGAGGAAAACTCCAGTGGACAAGTCGTTCAAGATGACAGCAGCGACTCTTGAGAAGCAGATCAAGGAAGACAAGGAAGTAAGGGAATTCCGTCAAGACTTTCTTCTATTCATTCAAGATCTCTGTAATATCCATAGTTTTACTGGTGTGTTATTGGAGTTATAATCTATAAATGTTGACTGAAGTCATCACACGGTTGTAAAGGTTTGCTGACTTTTAACTCATTTGTAACTTACTTCCACAAATCACCAACCAACCAGGCCGGTTTGTTGCCGTTTCTGGTCGTGGCCACTGTGGGCACCACGCTGACCGGAAGTGTGGATCCTGTGGACGACATCGCTGACGTGTGTGAACGTCACCAGCTCTGGCTGCACGTGGACGCCGCGTACGGAGGGTTCTTCGCTCTGTGTGACGACATGAAACCGCTGTTTGTTGGCGTGGAGCGGAGCGATTCAATTGTGGTGAATCCACACAAAGGTGACGTACAAAAGAATCAATGTTTTAAATGTGAGCTGAGTGAGGCGTAGGTTGAAAAATTGATATCTACGAGGTAGTTTTATGTGTGTAACATTTAGTTTAAATGTACATACCGTCTTGTATTGAAGTAAAAGCCTCTACGTTCGTTCCGCCTATCTCTAAACTATAACATTAATTCCCCCCTTATTTTCAGGGCTATTTACATCAAATGGTGTAGGAGTTCTTGTGGTGAAAGATGGAGAGAAGCTCCGACAGAGCTGCTCTTTGGAACAAACACCCCAGTACTTCACGGGATCTCCGGTATATTCTAATGAGCATGTGTCTCCATCCGAACTTTCCTTTGAACTGACCAGGCCATTCAGGTAAAACTTGTTCCGGACTCTCACAAGAATACGTAGAACTTTATTGACACAACAAAAGTACACTGGCGACTTTCGTAAGGTCTAAAACTACATGTAGACATACAGACAAATGCTAGTACATGGGTACAACGAAATTAACATACGAAAACACTCTGTGCATACCTGCACATCTAAGCTAAATGTAGAACCCATGTAACCATTGACACAGCCATTAGATACGAAAATGACTTATAGATCTAGGTACATGGACAGACAGAATTCGTATGTAAATTCTAATGGTTCGGTCTTTCTTCAAAATTGCGGATGCATGTTTGCATGCCGTTCACCATTTCACCTGTTCTCCACAGAGGTGCTCAGATGTGGCTTCCACTGAAAGTGTTTGGTGTTGGGGTTTTCCGTGCGGCCCTGGAGGAGAAACTCCTTCTGGCACGTTACTTCTACAGGAAGCTGAAAGGTACAAAACCGTTTTCCCTCAATTCGTGGGATGAGTGTCATAGATATTGTGTCCATTTTTTTGGTTTACTTATTCCAGACACTTTCTGGGAATTTACATTCACTCGTTTGGAATTCATTCGTCTTTCACTGAGTTTATTCAGAGGTAAATAAACACAATGAATCTGTCTTTCTCGATGGACAGAAACTGGTGAATTCGAGCTACCATGGGAGCCGGAGCTGTCCGTGGTGCTGTTTCGTGCTACAGCGCCACCTGGCGTCGACATCAACAACTTCAACCAACAGCTCCTGAACGACCTGAATTCTGATGGGAAAGTCTTCATGACTCCTGCCGTACTCGGCGATCAGTACTACCTGCGTGTCTGTGTCCTGTGTTTCAGGACCCACGTGGAGCATATGGATCTATGCTTCTCATTGATCAGAGAAAAACGTGGTCACCTTTGGAAGTAATTTCGTTTGAACGCCCAAAATAGTACTGCATAGGCTTGAGGTGTTGTTTTAGACGAGACATGGATGCTTATGTTGTTTGACCTTTGATTATATTCTGACATTGTGTCTGGCAGTAGATAACCTACATTTACTAGTATATACTAATCGTACTAAACCACTGGCGCCATGGCTAGTATACATATTCCTATGTGATGATAGTTAATCGCGATGAGCTGACAGATATCACACCAGATGGCTGAAGAATCAATGGTACGTTTTGTACATAATTTTGACCTTGATTAAGACTTTGCGATGTTTTTACATAACAGAAAACAATCATGCATGTGTATGCACCAGAAAATGATGGTGGATAAGACTGTCAGACATTGTTTTATCCACACTTTCTCATTACTTGTGTGTGTGCTACTAATAAGTAAATCTGTATCACAAGTAAATCTGTTAGTAAATCTAACTAAAAGTATTAAAATAGACAATATATTTAAGAGACATTGCTATCATTTGCACAGAGGCATTGCAAGATGGTGGTGGGGATTTTTTTGTAACCACAGATTAACCTTAAGGTTGTGAGGCTGTTATGTTTGGTTGTGCCAACAATAAATTCACACACAAAAAATCAAAATGCTTCCCGGAGGTTTGAAATTTTCAATTTCTTGTTGTAATTTGTATAAACGATACATGTATATTATATTTGCAATTTCTATGACAATACTCGACAGTAAATATGGCAATATTGGAGTTTGATTTGAAGACTGACATCGACAGAAGGCAGAGAACATAGGACGAGAAGCCAGTCACGCTTTTGTGCACTTTTCGCTATCGTCGCTAGATGGCCTCATTGCTCTGCATGTCTTTCAACCTGGGCTAATCAGCTAGTAAACCTGGCACTTGTTGCTTAGGTTTCAAGAAAACCACTGAGAAGATTCTGTCCTTAACAAGGACCGCCATGCGCCAGCGGTCGTGAAAACCCAACAGATTTCAAGGAGTGAAGAATTATTTGGGTTTCATACGTCACAGGGTCCGTTGCTTAGCAACCGCACAGGTCGGTGTAAATGCGCAGTTGAGCTGCGCAGTAAACGCCTGTTAGGGTTTGCAGAGACGGCAAAGATTACTTCTCATAATTCACAGGTTTTTCGAGGAACAGCGAGGACATAGTAAGTACTTTCAGCCAAAGCACCTGTCATGTTTTTAAGCTGAAAGATGCCTCGAAGATGCACGCGCCTTGAGGAAAACAGAAAATTTGTTGGGACTTTGAGGTGGGAGGGGGGCAACTATGTGTAAGGTGAAAGTAAACTGTCAACCGATAGAGATAAAACCCAGTGTCATCACATTTGGATGAAGTGATCGGATATATATTGGATAAACGTGTTGCTCATCTCTTAGTTTGATGTAAACTTTTATACCCTGGACGGCTGAATGATCATTCGCCTGACTTGGGCTGGCTTTTTAATGGCCTTATGTCACGCACTGTTAATGCGATCATACGGGCAGAAACAAACTGTAAAACAGGTTGACTACATGGCCAAGTGACTATTTCATTTCTCTAGGGAATGCTCGTGAACATGATGAAACAAACGATTGCTTGCCAAGCCATTTCTTTGAAAAAGGTTTTTTTTTTTAAACATAGCTCATGAATGCTGTTAAGGTTGTTGCTGTTAAGTTTAGCCGTGGACGACTCTGGTAATCCTTTTTGCATGATAATGTCTGTATCCGGCATTATCATGCAAGAAGGATTACCAGAGTCGATGGCTACTGTTAAGTTTAGCGTCTATTTTTCTGCTAGACGTGGTTACTTAAGATGATATTTGTAAAGTTTCATTTTGTTTGCTGTGTACGTTGCCATTAAGATGCCATTAAGCCATTAAGATGTCTTGTATTGTATACACTGCTGTGTTGAATGATTGTCCTCCCTCCCCAGTTCAGCACGAAGCAGAGTGTGGTAACTACAGGTGTGCAGCATGGAGAAACAGATCCCAGGTGAGCCCCTCCCCTCCAGGGAACCCACCATCAGGAGCAGTTTCGGAGGGGAGCAGTCCGCTGATGGGAAGAACCTGGTGGAACAGGTGGAGGCCATCTTACAGGAGAGGATCCGCAACGGAGACCAACATGCCAGGTTCACGCTGGGGCAGTTCTACTTTGAAGAGGTAGGGGGAGCAGATGTTCAATATTGGCATACAAGCAGTCGCTGTTTTTGTTTACATCATATACATACAAGTTATTTGGGGACATATGCAAATTATTGGGAGGTAAGTCAGCCAACCGTAGCCCGATTTTGGCTGTGATGTCAAGGCTCATATGGTCACATTTGTTGTAGGTCATTGCACAATTTTGATACCATAGAATTTTCAAGCAGGCTCCTACAGAAACAACCACCGACAAGGGTCTAAGACAGCCTTTTTTTAAGAAGATATCTGCAGGGCACATGCACCACTACCGCCACATGCCCTCAGAGTTTTGATCGTATGACGATCGCACAACGTATGTGACCAGGCCAAGACAATTAAAATTCTCATTGTTCCCACAAAAGCAAAATATGATACAGCTTAGGTTAATGGATTGATCTCTTTCATGAATAACAGATCTGTATCTGTATTGTTGGTACAACCGCACCTCAGCACAACACAACAGCTTTGCAGGTGCATGGCCATATATATGGCATGGGAGTAGCTGCTTATATTACACCGAATGACCTGTGACACACCTAACCTTTGCACATCCAACTGCAATCAGTAGATTTAATATAGAATCAACATTTGAGGTATTCAAAGCCACACTAAAAAAGGTTATTTCTTTTCACAGGGCTTGTACAAGGAAGCCATTGTGCAGTTTGAGAGGCTGAAAGAGAAGGATTGGCAGGCCATGTACCAGCTGGGAGTCATGTACTATGATGGGCTGGGAACAAAGGAGAACCATGTAAGACTGGATATGCATCTTTGTCTGTACTATACAAAAATATGTATTTTTCTGCCCAATTGTTCAACTGATTTCAATACTTTAAATCTTTTAAATAAATTCAAATACATTTTGATTGAGAGGAGATAATTCATTATACAGTGTGCAACTTGGGGAAACATTAAAAAATGTTTAAAGATATTGCATTTTAGAGAATAGTTAAACCTTTGTTGCCACTGACATATATTCTGTACATGGTTTGCTGCCGACATATATTCTGTTAGTAGCATGACTTTATTCTTACATGCATTTAGTCAACTCAATAAAGAATCTATCCTTATCAGGCAACCACTAAAGAGCTCAGCCTTACAGTGGAATGTACCAGCTACACAGACATATTACTTATCTCTGCACATCCAAGCATTGTTTGAATTTCTACCCAAGAGATCCCTACACTTGTAATGGTCATACACTTGTAAAGTTACATTCTACAATATATATGATGTTTCTCATGTAGAACAAATTTAACACCTTTTAGATATTCATCTCTGCTAATTGTAACACAACAACTTCATCAAAATATGTCTTGTTTGTAGTTGACAAAGTATGTGGATTTTCCTTACAGAAACTTGCCTGTGAGTACATGAGGAAAGTTGCTACATCTGAGAGTCAACGTGCTAAACACCTTGTTAGAGCAGCCCAGTACAACTTGGGGAGGGCACATTTTCAGGTGTGTTCACAGTTATGTTTGTTCATGAAAACTCAAATCTGCTCACTTATCATGAGGGAGGAGGTAAGGGTCAGATGTTAGATAAAATATAACAGATATAGATTACACAATTGAAGCCCTAACAATGATGATTGAAAAACATTTAGCTATTGACATAAAATCTTAACTTCTTGGTTCAAGTCCCTAGCAGTCCCCAATGTTGTGTATGCCTTTGGGAAAAGCATGTTACACTTAGTTCCTGACTCGGCTTTGTAAACGTGAGAAACAGCTTCTTGGATAGGATGTTAAGGTAAGGGCCCCGTGTTTTCAAAGAGCCGCATCTCAAGCATGTTAAAGATCCCATCACAGCCTTACAGTCCAGTCTTATACACACAGCTTGTACCTACTGTATAGAGCTGGAGCATGAATGCACATAAAAACAGTATACCAGTTATGGGAAACAAAGAAACAAACAAGGAAGCTTGTCCCTGCAGGGTTACGGAGTGGCCCAGTCTGACGCGGAGGCGGAGAAGTGGTGGATTCTCTCCGCGGATGATGGGAACCCGGAGGGGAGTGTGCGGGCCATGACCATGCTGGGCATGTTCTACTCCAGAGAGGACACTAAAAACCTGAAGAAGGTGACACAGTGTGAAGTTGTAACTTATTATGGTACCATGCCCATATTAAAAGTAGCCAATGAAGTATATTTTAAAGTATTGTTTTGGGTGGCTTGCTGGTAAGTTTGTATGTTTTCTGTCTGAGTGGCAATGGTTGAATGAGGGTGGGAGGTGATTTTGACAGTTGCTGGGCAGGTCATGGTTGGAGGTAACCCAGCACTGGGTGGGAGGATGTAAGTGGGTATGTGCAAGAATCCAGAAAGTGGTGCCTTATTGAATTACATAATATATTATTTAATATACAATCCCCTCCACAGTTCCAATGGATTCACATAAACCTAATACACTTTATGAGGTATGTGAACATGAAGGTCACAAAAACCCAAAATATGTCTGAGAGGTCTGAAAGCTACTGTAACAGCTCCTCAAAAACATGTGCTGTTGGTAATGCACTTTGACACCATAGCATAATATTTGATATCATAATTATAATGATCAGTCAATAAACCCGCAGGATAACCTTTACACCAGGTCATAGCGTAACAGGGCCCAGACCACTCAGAATGTCATCTTGTGTTTTTACAGGCATTTTTCTGGCATTCAGAAGCTTGTGGAGCAGGCAGTTTGGAATCACAGGGTCAGTCTTTAAGGAAATTACTGCAGATTTTGTTTAAGATATGAAATTTACTGTACAGTAGATTATCTCTGTATTGGTACCCATTGGTAGTACTGTGCTTGTTTGATAGAAAACTGACATGTAATTGTTGAAAGTTTTCCATCACAATTCAAATCATGGTGTTTTGCTGGTCAGTTTTAGCCACATATATACACAAAGTTATTGCCAATAATATTGGCAGAGGCAAATTTGGAAAATTATGATTCTGCATGCACTATTTCATTAATGCTACCTGTCTAACCACAGATACCATATGGTGACAATGGATTGAAATTTGATGGGTATTGTTTTCAGGTGCCTTGGGTGTTATGTATGAACACGGCCAGGGGAAGAGAAGGGACCCTACCTCAGCCTTCGAGTGTCTGAAGGAGGCGTCAGAGCGGGGCAGTGTGTACGCCATGGGGAACCTGGTCGCACACTACTACAACAGGAAACTCTACACCAAGGCTGCAGACCTGGCAGCAAAGTCAGCACTTTGATTTTGATGCACACATTTTTTGTATAGAAATTAGAATGTTTTATCTAAGAAAATATCTATGTGATTGTAACTTTACTTTGTAACATATTTGTAAAAATATCTCACATTTCTGGCTCTTACGGTTGGCACTAAAACAGCCCACATGAGGCACCCTCAGGTGCCACCACAAACTACCAGATTGTAAACAAACATAGCTTGTATTGTGTCATATGTTGGCACCTACACTACCTGAATGGCACTTAATCAAAAAAGGAGGAATGATTTAACTTACTTTGACCAGAAAATTTTGTATCATCCTAATGCTACATGATGCAGCTTTGATTATAATTCGCGACTGTAAATCATGAGGGCTTCATGAGGGGAAAGGGGGCATTCACAGCATTTTCATTCCAAAATGTTAGGCACAACAGGACACTGACAAGAAGTTAGGTCAAAGGTCCCAGGAAAGGTTATTTCATTTCCTGTCTATGCACACCTGTTGCTCTATGGGAGCCAGTAAGTGGGGGAAAATGCACAGGCAAAATCAGGAAGAAATTCACAAAAATCAATAAAACAAAAAAAAATTCACAAAAAACTATATAAACTATACCATAGCTCACAGAGGTATGAGAGCTTCGATTTCTTGTTTTGAAAATAAATAAAAAGTAATACCCTTTTCTGTACCATCATAGAATACTGTAACTCACCTATCTTACCCCATCCAGGGTTTCTCAATACCAACCAGAAGATGTGCAGACGATAGCAACCCACACTGACTGTATCCCAGGGTTCATTGCAAAAGGCATCGCCATGGCGTGCTTCTTCTATGCCCGCTGTCTGCACATGGGTCACGGCGTCCGACAAAACAAGGACGAAGCCAAAACATACTACTCTAAGGTCAGAGAAACCGATTGTTAAGTAGGTCCTGTGTGGACATTGTTCAGTAATTCATGATTTGTGCATAACATCAATGCTCATAATTTCACCACATTTCACCATTTCACTTGTGAAGAAATGGTTAATATGATGAGATCAACTAATATGCAAATTTCTGAGGTTATAGATGCACACTTAAAATATCCAGAAGATACTCAGATGTCTTCATGATTAGGCCCCATAACACCTTCTTTTCAATGTGACAGTCTTAGGGTATCCGAATTGTAAGATTTGACATTATATAAGAAAAAGCAATATTATAGCATTTAAGACTGCAGGGGTATCAGGTAGCCACCAGACAATCAGGATGAATATTTCATGAAAGGTACAAGGTTCTTTCTGATACAAAGACACTGTAAACGGTACATGAATTCCAATACGTAAAATAATTTCATGTGTTATTTTATTGTCTTGGCACAAGTCTTTCTTTTATTCAAGAATATGAGGTTGAAGATTAAATGTTATGCTGTGACCTTCATTTATTTTTTAGCATAACAGGTGGGTGATAGTTGAAGGAACCAACATGATTAGACAGAATGATAGAAGGCAATGATTACTTGCCATGTATGTTCTAGTTATGGTTTGAAAAAAGGTTTAATTATTCATATTTTGTATCCATGTTTCAGGCCTTCACCTTTGACCCTGACATGACGGCCATGCTTCAGAACCAGATGACTCATGGGAGGATCTGATGCATTGTGGGATACTACAGCTGTGAAAGGGGATTTTTTAAAATGTATGCAAAATTCCTGATGTTTTTATGAAAAGGAAAAAAATGTCTGGCAATCCAAAAAATGCAATGTTGAGAAATAATCATTGTTATAGAGTTTGGAGACATTTTGCTACAAGTGACATTTTAGACCATGTAGTTATTCCATATGTTAATCTAATTATCATATGAAAAATTTGAAATGCTGTTGTCGTAATGCAGAAAGATTGGTTATTTTCTATTCATTGTGTCAACAGAGAGTGAACACATGCTGTTTTAGGTTCTTTAGGAAAGTAATCATTGCTGATGTACTGCTCATGTGGTTGGAGCAAACTGTATAGTCATGGATGAAAGGTTTCTTGCTTTCTTTTGAGGCCTGTAAATATAATGTAGCTTCTCTGATAATGCTGTACATTACAAAGATTGTGATACTTTACTACTATCGCTATGATGTATGTACATTTTGTTGCCTTCCTATGTATACATTGATACCGTTTTCACATATTTTTATAAAACAATTGATTCAAGCATACTTTTGTATTTGTAATGTATCTCCCTTGTATGAAAGTCATGAGCAATACAAAGATGTTTATTATTGTTGATAATGGAATCATGTACGATTGTTACTGTAAGTGTCAATATGCAGAAATGCAAATATTTGAAGGACATGCAGCCACACTGTCATTGGTCAACCCACAAATTACCATACTATCATTGGTTGAACTGCTAATTGTGATGGACAGTCAGGATGGGTCCTGTCACCATAATGATGCTATCCTATCATTACCCTGGCTCGTAAACGTCATGGCAGCATAACACTGTATCGCCCAGCACAAGCATGGAAGGAATGCATATTCTTGGCCCGTACATTTCCGTTTTTGAAGGAACCAAAGACAACAAACTTACTGAAGAGAGGCAGGCATTTTAAACTCGTGTGGATAACTTACCTTGATGTACATGTATTGTTGTAACCAAACGCTGACTTCAAACGTCTGGAAATGAAAATGGAAAGGAACTGGAGGAATAAGCAATTTGTTTTCAAAATATGCCATTCATTCAACATTTCCAAACAAGTGCTGTAGTCTAAGACACAAATTATCAGCCTACGCCATTGTGTAAATATTTCATCTCATTTGTTCAATAGGGAAAAGCGCAACAGCGCAGCTGTCATAGTGACTCTTTTGTTAGAGTACGTGCGTCAGAACAATTAATGACCCTGACGACTCCGTATTGTGAAAGACAGCTGAGGCATACTTTATTTATTGGTTACGGGGAAAGTAAAGCAAAGGGCTAATACAGGGGTTGTGTAGCATTGATATTTACATTATTACCATAAATATTTACCACTATTCGTCGTGCAAAGTGTTTATGATATATTCGAAAACAAAGTGCTTCGTCAAAAATAAAACTGTCAAACATAACCAAACTTGTGAGATGAAATGTTTACAATTGACGAGTGTCCGTTGTCACAAAACCCCCTTTGAAGCCACCGGTGTATGATGAAGCAATTTTGTCCTCATCGCTGGTTCTTTTGAAGATCTCAAAAAATACTGCCATAAGTACCCATCACCATATTGTGTTGTTCAGGTTAGGATTCTTAAACAAAACGCAGGAACTTATTGGATAGTGACCCGTCGATACAGGTCTGACATTGCTGTACTTCAGTGGGTACATTATATCGGCAAAGTTCAGGCAAACTGATGTGAAAGAGCCCCGGTTTGGAGCCATGGACGGCCGTCATATCGGCAGGAACAACGTCGCTAAGTTGGACACACCTGTTCCTTCGGCCCGCCCTGGCGTCCGATCCCGAACTGACGGGGACGGCAGTATCAGTGATGACGGATCGCTTTCTCGGGATGATCAGCGCGCTTTTGCGGTTCGCCAGTGCCTAAAGCCTGTCCTGAGCCACGTGGGGATTGTGGCGCTTCTCCTGAGCTACTGCTTCGTGGGAGCCGCTATCTTCCAAGCGATCGAGTCCCCCCGAGAGATAGAGGAGCAACATGAACTCATAAAATCCCGTGATTTGGTCATTGAGATGCTTTGGAACAACAGTCAAACAATGGACCAGGACAACTGGACTCAACTCGCGGTGATGGAAATAGGAAAGTTCGCACACTCGCTAGATGAGGCTTTTCATCACGGGGTTTCGCCAGGGTCCGACGATATGAAGTGGACTTACTACGGGTCATTGTTCTTCGCCGCGACCGTAGTGTCAACGATAGGTAAGGTCCCGGTCACATATCGTCGTACGATCGCAAACTGAGGACAGTCGTGCATGTGTCTTGAAAATTTAGCTGTGTTTTTACGGGAAAGTCTGCTACAGTGTACGTTAAGTGTAGGGGCAAGCCGTAATGCAATATCTAACGGTCGTCTTGTCTACCGATATCCTTAGAAGAACAAAACTGGCTTCAAAGTTCGAAAGTATTCTTCCTGTGCTTTGGTTTCAAACATTATGGCCAATCTTCCATATTCAAAGTGAAAAAGTAATATCTATTTGAGGCATATTCGTCATCATAGTGCTTCCAAACAAAAGAGGTTATTATGGCAGTGTAATCAATCGAAATGAGCGGCGGAAAGCTTGCCCTTCACTGGCAACGATGGTCTTAAATATTTGATGATTAGCGTTATGATTGCGCCATTTGGGACAGTTTGGCATCTTCCCACTCATTTTCACTGAAGCCACCTGTGGTTTTGAGGGAGGGAGGGGGGTATATATGTCACGCTTACTGATGAGGGCCCGGCCACGTTCGTCGGACGATCATCGTACTATGGCAAACGGAGAGTATTCTTGGGAACGTCATGCCTGTGTAGTACAGAATTCAGTTATAGCTGTCTTGTTAGGGACGGACCGGAGGCCGAGGCTATCTTTAAGCCGGCGGTTGATTCTGTCAAAGTCTACTTAAAGATTGTACGACGACCTACGACAGATTTGACCGCGGCGGAACCTACACTGTACAGAGAACAAAGAGCAGATTTGCAAATTCCACAGAGCTTATATGTTATTACGTAGCCTCATTCTACACAGCTTGGGAATGTCATATACCTATAGCTATTCTTCTTTTCACGACAAAAACAAGACAGACACACCCAACGTGGAATTCCGAAGCCCCTTTTTAATTGAAATTGCCAACCTAGGGTTCGAAAATCGTATCGGTGATCTAATTAAAGAAAAATGACCATGCAGTTGAGCCTGAGCTCACAAGACGTCTACTTTTCTTCTACATGTCATGTAAACTATTATTAATTTTTTCAAAACTCTGTTCCATATAGGTTACGGTCATCACGCTCCGGTCACGCCGGCTGGTCGGATCGTCTGTATCCTGTACGCGCTGGTGGGCATCCCGCTCTACCTGTTCTGCGTGGCGGACCTCGGGCTGCTGCTCGCCCGCGGAATGACCAGGCTTCTCTCCCTGGTCGGGTATCAGCTCTGGCGATTTGAGCGAGAAAGAAGAAACCAGAAATTCAAGGACAACAGGAGGAGTTCATCATCAAAGGAGAGCGTTGCATGTGGCAACACGTCTGCGAAAAGCAACAGCACTGAGTCGACAACGTGCAGTCCAAGAGATTCGCCGCATCTACCGGCGACTACGTCTGAAAATGATGGCGCGAGTTCATCCTCAAGGCTGGGGAAAACCTCATCTATTGATAGCGAAGACATCGCGCCTTCAGGGAAACAATCGTCTACAAGTAGAGGCCGTCCAGAAATAAAAATAGAACCTGACAGTGTTGATAAGGGTGAAGCTCTTGCGTCAAGCCACATCTCGACTTGTCAGACAGGGGGAAATAAACAAAAGGGTGCCGTCCTGGTGGACAAAGACATGGATGTCATATCCTTGGACGACGATGTCGAAGACTCTGTTCCAGAACTTCTTACAGATATTGCTAACAGCCACTGTACAAAAGAGGATGGCAAGAATAATTCCAAACTATCTACCATAGTCAGACTAAATATGGGTACACAAGGTAACGGTCTCCATCCCAGCCTGACACACAGGGGGCGTGACCCCCGCCTCACCATCTTCTCCGGTACTCCCACAGGCACGGAGGACTTGGAACGGGCTGAGCAGGAGAGAGTCCTCAGGCAGCACCAGCTCATCGTGCGGAAACCTGACGTTCCCCTCTCGGTGGTGGTGCTCCTGTTTTTCCTCTACAACGTCCTCTGTGCTTTAGTTATCAAGCAGTGGGAGGGATGGGACTTCCTGACGGCTTTCTATTTCTCCTTCATCACTTTGTCCACCATCGGCTTCGGTGATGTATTTCCTGAGCACCAGAAGAATCTGCTCGGTTTCTCGGTGATGATTTTGGTCGGGATGGCGGTGCTGACCATGTGCATATCTCTGGCGCAGAATCAGACTTACAGACAGGTTCAAAAGTCACTGGCGAAGGTCAAGGCCTTGACGAAGAGGACAACGAAGACAGAGAGTGATCCGGAGCAGTCTACGTAAAGTTCGAAATACTAGGGGAGGGGATAGTAGCCTCGGCTATCATCTAAAAGTAAACTTGTAGCAGGATTCTTTACAAATAATTCGTAAATCACCACCCACCGTTAACAATACGCCTGTAACAGAATTGTAGAGACATACAATCCATCTGCTGTTGTATCCAAATGATGTTACTGATATTACTGGGTTTTAGAAAGAGCCAGGCATAGCCATTGGACATAGCCTTTGATTTTTTAACTAATACTTGTGAGAATAACCTGTCGTTGCCGTTGTATTGTGATGTGAATTTTTTTATTTTGAGTGATTTTCAAATACTGACAATTTTCACTTTTTTGAGCTTTAATTCAGCCAAAGTTTGGCTAGGCTGCAGTGAATTTGTTTTAAAATTTCCTGTGATACAATGCAGATATGTGTTATCAAGTATAAGATTGTACAGATAGATTACTATTTTTCTTAAGATGGATTGTTGACACGAGGAATGCGTTTACTCTATGCTGAAACTCGTTTTGTAAGGTAAGGCCTAAGAACATTAATTTTCTGTTTACGATTACCGTATGGGAAACATTCACAGATGTCATTAGATATGGATTTTCTTTTTTTTTCTAGATTTAGAAGTGATCTAGCAAATACAGTTTCACAATGTAAAACTGAGATGCATCAGGACACGGGTATTTTCAACGTCATGTTTTGATTATACATATAGAAATTGTTCAAGCACAAGGACATTAATAAACCAAACAAAGGAGTACATTGTTGACTACACATTCTTACATCCACTGTTAGAAGTCTTAAGTAACGAGTGTACACGACATACAGGTTCTTGAAGGTTTTCTTCTCCGGTTTGTGTTCACTTTTGTTATGGTTTGCTGGGCCTTATATCACCGTTTCCGTTGCAATAGAAACGGGGAAAACATATTGGAACATATTCTACAACGTTTTGCATCACTCAGATGCCAGATCAAAAAATCTTATGCCAAAGGTTGACCGAAAAAAGGTTTAGGTTGGTAGGTTTTTGCTAGGGTCGGTCGTGTAACCTGAAACATAACATATATATATATAGGCCTAACGCTGTTTACAATAAGCCTTGAAAGTCCAATCATGCGACTAGACAATGAATATCTGATTACATGTTTTAAACCTGCTGCAAACCACTGGACGATGAATATTCAAACTGACATGAAAGGGTGATCCTGTGACTTCAAATTAAAACGTACGCAGGGGGCCTGGGAACGTGCAGCTTTCTTTTTGAACTCTTGTTTGTTTTTTAGGATAATGTAACGGCTTCACCTTTAATTGTCTTGATCTGCAGTCAACTTGATTACAAAATGTATTACTTTGTAAATTAACTACCTTTTTAACAAAACATGTTATTCGAAGAGATTGGTAGTGCCAAAGCCGGTATTTCCAATCAGAAGACATACTGTATGGCTGGAGGTGCGTGTGATTTTTCCCACGAAGTCATTTGTAGAGACTAAAATTTCATATCCCGATTTGGTACTATTACTTTCAAATTTCAGGGCGAATGAGTGTTCTAATATCCGAACTTCGTAGCACCCAAAGAGGTGTCCTTGTGTTTTGTTGGAATTTTCTCAATCTGCTCCAAGAACGCCAGCATTTTTATACTAATTCCAACCCACGTCTTTTTGGCGGCATAGGTTATGAAAGCAGATATGACGTCAATGCGGCAAAACGCGACAAATCACTGCAGGCGATCCCAACTGCGGATGAATATGTTCACCCCTGTGCGCTGTACTACTGCTGCTGTCGACACTGTTATGGTACGGGCAAGACGTTGCATCGAAGCACTGTCTTAGCTCAAATTGGAAGTAGGGGAGGCATGGTAAATGTATGAGAACTCGCAAATATGGCGTGCTGCATGCCAAGGTTCAACGTTCCTGCTCAAGGGCCGCCTGGGACTAGCTGGGGTAATCAATCAACAACATCGACACAATCGGAAAGTGTTCACACCTACTATACTATCAAAGATTCTGACGCGCTTGATCCGCGGGGTCGAAATCCCAATCCCCTGGCAGGTAGACTGCCGGGTCCAGTCAGCAGCTGCCATGGTGGACCTGCGGGGATGTTTACGGCCTGTGGTGATGTGTTCGCCCGAGGAACTACCCTGCCTTCCACGCTACCTGCTTGGCAAAGTCCTGTGGTGTGTTCCCTGCCAATACCAGAGCAGGGCAACGCAGACAGCTCACACTTTTGGACTCTACCAGGTGTAAACTTTGGGCAGCAGTTCCCCTTGTGTGTCTCGGCGGGACCTATCTTGACCATGCCCGGAGTACCATTCCTAAGCACCGTACCACCAGTCGTCCTCGTACCGAGCTCGAGAAGTCCGTCAGCTTTATCCAGAGGTAGGTTGACGACGACAGATCAAGAATGACTGCTCAATCTTATTGCATGCGTATAGATAATAGCATTTAACTTTAAGACGTGGTGGTTTCAAGTTTCAAGTTTATTTATTTCACCAGGGAATACCTCAGATCCATTGATCTGCTTTTCAGGTATCCCTGGGCACACATTAAAACATACAATTTCATAAAAATACAAATCGAACCCAACAATATACAAAAACGTTACAAACATGTACATATACAACACAGTCACATTATAGGCACATTTAGTTCATTTTCCAAATTCAGTCCTCTCCACTAGTCTACAGTCCGATTTTCTTTCTAAATGATGATGTTGACGTGATCAGTTTCCGTTGATCAGCAGCAAGACAGTTCCACAGGACAGGTCCTTGGTCCTTGGACAGGTCACATAGGCAATTGTAGGTGCAGAAAAATCTGGGAAATGTACGCAGTTCAGCAATGATACAAATCACGTCGACTATACGCCTGGTCTAATCAGCGATACGAGAGCATTCTTTGGATAGTCCTGCATACAGTTGATACGTTGATACCTTGTTACTGAAAAGGCTTGTCGATGGTTGGTGCAGTTACAGCCTGCTTGAAAAAACTCACATCAAAATCGTACGATGACCTACGACGTATGTGACCGGGCCCTATTAATTAGTCACACAGTCACAAAGATACCTTGCCCTTTTTTATGATTACCTAGCAGTATCTAGCCTGGGTGCCATCCTATTTGTATTCCGGGGCTTTGATACTCGCCCCTAAATTTTTTTGGGGCGGGGGGAGCTAGGGAGCGAGTATGGGAGCCCCGGCATACAAATAGGATGGCACCCAGGCTAAGCAGTATCAATGTCATAGGGAAAAGATAGAATAGACATAAACCATGATCTTTGTTTACAGTCCGGAAATTCTGCAAGAAGCAATCTTCTAAGATCTGGACCATAGTGGCCATCTGTATCGTCGTGTCCTTACTGATAGTCCTGGCGTACCCGGACAACCATGCCCAGAGGGCTCGACTCATGGTAAGGCATATGAAAATACATTGTATTGTGTTTCCAATTATGGTGCTGGAGAAAATTTGGTTCCTTAGATAGAGATGCCTTTTTTCTCTTTTTTTTAGATTCCGGTCGAATTGATCCTACAAAGATAGTTCAAGGACATTATACATTTCTCTATAAGTATAATGTCCTTGGATAGTTTTACAACTTAAAAAAAACTGAAATACATCAGGACACTGGACCTTTTTTGTGTTACAATGTATTACATCTCAATTAGCTTTTCTTGTGTTATCTTTATATAGCTTTTATTGCCATTATCATCTTCTACTATTCATCTACTAGTATTGGTTGTACTTTTTTTTTGTTTTTTGTTAACTTGTCATTAGCACGTACCCCATGAGACGAACGTGAAAGTGGTGTCGGGGCACACGAGCAGCAATCACGACCTAAGGACAACATCCTCCCACCATACCAGCTCCACGCTCTCAACTGTTACAACTATGACCACTGGTGTGTCGTCCTTTGCACCCTCGTCCACTCGAGTTTCTGAAACTACGGGAGGTAAGACAGATGCACGGCGGCGACCAGTACCCCCAAGTCCCGACAAAAACTTAGGCCTGCCTTCTATCAAGTTGGCGGCGCCACAACGACAACGAAACTGGCGTTGGGCGAAGCAAATCCCAAACCCTTATCAAGTCGGAAAAGGCCAACCCTGACCTGCCAACGGACAGCAACAGCATATCCTGAAATGGCTACAATCCTTATGTATATGTGCTATCAATAAGATCTTGAGATATTATCATTTCTTGGCGTGAAACCTCAAGCAACAGGCGCGACCTCTGGCGGTTTGTCGCTCTTGGTGCAGTAGGGATCACCTGATGGTGTGGGTTATCCAGGAGGTACAATTTGTGACTCAAGCAGTACAAAACGTATATCAAACATCTGTATCTGTATCTGTATAACTGATACAGATACAAATAAAGCCTTTGATACACTAGACTTTCCAACTGCTGACTTTCGCAACAGAACTTCAGACGAGAATGAGTATGTTTTAATTTGTGTCCTGACTACTGAAATAGTATTGAAACAGAATATCCAGCGGTTCAACCAATCAGAGAATGGCATTTAGCGGTTCGACCAATGAGAAAATAGTTGTATGTCGTCACATATTGTTATTTTACGTTTATTTTTTTTTTTTTTTTGTCACTTATACATTTTATCGAAGGTGTTCGGGGCTTTTGGATGGGTCTATTGTCAAAACGTATCCATTTCACATTTTCAGTACGTGCCTGTTTATGTTTCCTCTAGTGTCACCACGGATGAAACCATTAACGTAATTGAAAGATTAGCCGCCACAACAATGGCAACATTGTAACGGTGTGCGCAAATGCACGTAAACGAGAGTTTTCTCTCGAATAGTAGCATTGCATCACTTAAGACTGTAGTAAAAGGTTGATCATGGAAGCAGTAGTAATTGATGATTTTTATGATTGTATGTAGCTGTTTCCTCCTACATAGTAACGTATATTTTGAATGGAGAAACTGTATTAAATATTCAGAATTCTATACGTATATACGCTTCATCGAGCAATGCCTTTCTATTCTGTTGTGGTCACAATAAGTTATTTCACGTGTAATCCCGAGTAATACTACTTTGTAATCATCATTCTTGACATTCACATGTCTGGAATTTAACGCATATTTTGACGGCAAAATAGTATGCGTCAGTTTTAGAAAATAACCAAAAGGTAATGAAATCCAAGACCTCACATATAACTTATTAGTGTTCCCTCACAAAACTGACCTTGTGCTGATTTGTCTGCGAATTGTAGCGACAATGGGTGAGAGTGGAGAACAAAAATTGCATTGTATGTCGCAACGTTTCTTCGTGTTGGCTCCCATACAAAATACGATGGCACTCAGACTATTTTCGTCTTGTTTTGACCATAGATAAATTGTCCACCGCTATTCTTTCATTACTCAACCAAGTGATCTGAAATTCGGTAGTCGGTAGTTTATTCAAATAGTGGTTGTTCTCCTCCTTCCTATCAATGCGATGTGTTATGGAAGATATTGTGACATTTTGGTCAATCTTTGAAAATAAGGAATTCCTTCTTTTAAAAGTCGATATGCCTACGCTCCAGTTAATCCGGTCTTGGCCCATACAAAGACCAGGCCCTGAACCCATGCGAACCTACGACTCCAGCAAATAGAGCCAATTCGTTGGCGTTTTGCTAGAGTAGTAGTGTCTTGAAAAAAGTATGAAAATTTCTTGCAGAGTACTCAATGTGTAATTTGCTTCTAATGGAAAAAAATGAAACCTTTGTAGCGGCTGTCATGTTGTCCAATGCAGTCAACCGTGGCATCATATGTGCTCCAATTACATGAGTCTGGGTTTGCCATTGTTTGGTTGGGTGGATTATGATATGATCTTGTCATTGTCAACAATTGGTCGCACCTACAGACAGCAATCATACTGTTAGACGACTCAAATGTAGCCTTTTGCAACGTCCTATCAGTTTATCCCTCTCTGCAAGCAGGCCGTAACTTCAGTACATCCGGTCAGGCCAGGCGATACAGCTGCAACAAGAGGAGCTGGATGTTGGGACGAGTGTTGCCTCTAACGAGTGGTAGGCTATAGGTTTAATCTGCCTTAGACTGAGGAAGAAAGACCATAACAGACTTCAAGGTAACGCCTCGGTACGAACTTTCATACATGTATAACCAACGGCACAAGTGAATTAGAAAAGAGATGACGACTCTTGAAGTGCAACAGGTGCACGGAGGACAGCTTAACCGCCCGGCCATTCGCGACAAGCGGAGATCAATGTCGAACAATGGCGGCGGCCATGGCCACGCTCTCCCGGCTGTGGACCAGGAAAAGGACATCGTGCCTGCCGTGCAGCCGCCTGACAACAGTAGGGCACGGGTGGTGAGAACAAGAAAGAACACAAGTTGGATGAAGAGAACCTTCGGTGTCGTCTGGCCTCACGTGAAGTGGGCGCTCATTAACATAGGGTATCTAGGATTTGGTGCCGCTATGTTTGCAGCATTGGAAGTTCCTCCGGATCCGGTAGGTCAACTTCCTCTTTGAACAGTTTTATTTGTTCACCTCGTCGTTGATATATTTGCCTGTTTCCTGTACCCTTTTTTCATGGTGATAAAAACTCAGAAATATTTCCTATGATTTATCTTTGGGGCCATTAAATATTCAATATTTAATGGGGATCATAGCGAGGATATCAGCAGAGAAACCACAGAGTCGTGTGAAATAAGCTTTCCGTCAGTTCATTGGCTGTTTTACAGTCGTACCTAAGACAACATTTTGTAGGATTTGAACTGAAGAAGCAACATTTAATTGCAAAACATTTACAGATTCTGGGACATGCACACACACGTGTTTAGTCCTGCTATAGGGTTGTGGTAGTCACTATTTCATCCAGGATAACCATACAGTCCGATGGTATTTCACATAATGACTTGGACAGTTATCATACTTATGACTAAAATGTGCTGCGAAGAATAAGTTAGATACTCTTAAGTACTTTTATGTTCTTTTATAACAGTGTATAAAAACATAAAAGAAAACGGGTTGTTTCCGTGATAGCGTGATAGCAAACGATTCGTGATAGAAAAGTTATTCTTATTTCCCTTGAGAAGGCTGGCTTGTGTTTTCTGTCCTTCATATCATGATTAAGCGTTTCCTATGTTCTTTTACGCCTTTTCGACTGTGCCATGTCTTTCGCTGTGCGCGTTTACAATATGAACAGTGCAGAGATGAAAGTGGGACTGGGTCGCAGTTTTTTTCAGCTATTGCTTCATGTAGATGTTTCTGTTCTGTTTTACCTTGATGATGACAAACTACATGATATAACAAGAAAGACCCCCGGGAAGTGTTTGGGGATTTCATGAATGTATTTGAAGTGTGGAGGGGATTGCATGACGTAATTTATTCGGGTATTACACACAGTTTTAAAACCACTTCCTCAGCTGCCGGGTCACCTTCAAACTTAACCTCCCTGCTGTCAACAAAGTAACCAAAACTCCACCCACACTCACTGCAAGCTTCTCTGCTGGACAAGCATACACACAAACCCACAGACAAAGCCACCCAAAACCATACGACGCCATATGGATCAGACGTGCCCAGCTGTCATGTACGTTGGTAGACATTCCCATTCCCTTGGGATCTTGCCAGTAGCTATTGTCTGCAATGGCAACTGTATCAATATATCACACAATACATGTCATCAATGTCATACATGTACAAACATGCCACAGACGTTATTAGACTTAGGGAGCATTTTTTATGAATATTATAGCACCCCAAACTAATATTTTAGACTTACCATCCCACAGTTGTGTCAACACAAGTATTTCGGGATCAGAGTCGGCAGTTTTAAGTGCAGTGGTGAAGTGAATTGTTTGCGCATTTGATATTTCGCATAGTTCATTAACAGGTCTAAACGGTACAATATCTGGAACTGAGTCAAAGGCCCATGGGACTTCGATATGCAAGAACGTTTATAAAATGAAATAGAGCGTGAAGAAGGGCGAGATATTGCTTTGACTGACCCCTGAATGAGACCCTCAAGTTCTATAAGAACGTTTCCCTTTATGATTATAATTATGATGTAGAGTTTTGTGGATATCAAGTCCATTTGACATGTAAATTCCAAGGATATATATATAGTCACCTTAATATCATTCCTGTAAGAATGTCTTTGCCTAGCCGCAGGGTTCAAGACGTATGCGTCAACTCTTACACAAAGATTCCTTTTCTATCGCAAGTTCTTCTCTGCTTGGTTTATGTTTCCTCATTTTTTCTTACTAGCCAGCTTGGTCGTTCAAAACCGGCTCCGTCTTGTCATTTCTCAGGCGGAGGTCAACTACCATGCACACAGACAGGTACTCTTCGATGCTCTCAGCATGAACGCATCTATATGTAAGTGTAACAGTACTGCGTTTGAAGAGTGGGAGAAAGCCGTTTCTGCGGAGTTCTACAGACACGAGGACATGGTGGTGAACGCCAGACTGGACCTAGTGTACGGGACAAACACCACCAACGAGCGGTACCTCGCAGTGCCGGCCAGGGCTATGTTCCTGGCGTTTGTGGTCGTCACAACTATTGGTAAGGTGTGTGCGTGCGGTGTGCGTTCGGTGTGTGTGATGGGGGTGTGCATGTGTGTGTGTGTGTGTGTGTGTGTGTGTGTGTGTGTGTGTGTGTGTGTGTGTGTGTGTGTGTGTGTGTGTGTGTGTGTGTGTGTGTGTGTGTGTGTGAGTGGTGTAGGTGTGTGTGTGTGGTTATGTGTGGTAAGTGTGCGTGTAGTTATGTGTGATGTGTGGTGTGTGCGTGTATGTTTGCTTGTGTGTTCGACGAACGTACTGTTGAGTGAGAGGGGAATTTCCTAACCACAGACCACAAAAGGTCAGACACAGGAAGCTAGATCCCAGAACAGAAAGATGATTGGGAATTTGTTCGCTGGGCTTCAAAATGCATATTAAAATACAACAGGCGATTTACAAATGAATAAAACAAGAAATTAAAAAATTACAGATATTCCACGGAGGTATGACATCTCCAACTTCTTATTGCAGGGTATGGCCACTGCACGCCCAGGACACCAGAAGGACGAGTGTTCTTGATTTTCTACGCCATTTTCGGTATCCCATTGATGATGACGTGGGTGAGTGACGTCGGAGCTCAGCTGGACTCCCTTCTGAGCTACCTGATCGGGAAGATGAAGTCACGGTGCGGCTCCAAGAAGTCATCAGAAGTCGACAGGTGGGAACTCCCAAGATTTCTATAGGCGTAACTTCAACAAATATTGTGACGAAGAAAACGTCCTTGTACCAAACAAACACGGTGTAATGATTTTTGCTCAGATGCGGGTAAGGGGCTGGTCGTACGAGCGTTGTGCGATCGCAAACGGATGGCATTGTTGGGTTAGTCGTGCAAGTGTCGTAAACTGAAATTCAGCTGCCTTGGTAACCGGAAAGGCTGTTGGTTCATCCACAGCCTGCTTAAAATTACAACGACGTTAAAATTGTACAGTGACCTACTAGTACTACGGATGTGATGTAAGATGTGTGTGAGGTAGTTGGTCGCCGTGCGTTGGTCTGTAATTTATGGGTAGTAAAAATGTACAGCAACCACTTCTGGAAAAAAGTGCTTGACATCATATCGTTTTCAGTGAAAAAAAAATTAGATTGACAACGATATGCTCTTTCCCCTCTCCACAGCATGCCACCCTGGGTCACCATCTTTCTGTTAATTACCTACCTTTTGCTGGGTGCCGCCGGGTTATCCGCCTGGGAAAAATGGGACCTAATGGACAGTGTTTACTACTTATACATTACAGCTACATCAATAGGTAAGCACATGTTCTGTACAGTTCATTGGTGAAAGGTAGTATGATCGTTTTAGCGTTTAAGCGTTTGGCATTGCTACCCCCAGGTACAGAAGTATTGTTTGGGGTTGTGGAATAGTGTCTGTTTGTCCGAACAGAGCAGGTTGACAGCACATGGGTGGGGAAATTGACAGGTAGAATGACAGGTCAAAGGCCAGACACTGGAAATGGGGCGAACCACGGAGGTGGCGAACTCGAGGGTCTTCTTAGTCTTGGAAGCCCTTCGCTGTCGAAGATGAAAGTCACGAAAACCCAAAACACTTCCATGAAGTATGAAATCTCCAATTTCTTGTTGATTTGGGCAATATTGGTCCGAAGTGGGATCTAGTAAGAAATCGTTGGAAACTCACACGAAGATTGTTGACGTTTCAGGATTTGGTGATTTTGTGCCGACCAACCAGCTGAACGTGATCCTGGCACTGCCGTACGTGATGGTCGGGCTGGCGCTGGCGTCCATGCTGAACGGGCTCACGGGAAATACGGTGGGCTAGCTGCATACTGTCGTTCTTCCAGGCACGAAAGCAATATTTTGGGTGGCTGAGCAGTTGGTTTGTGTGTCTGTATGTTTGTCTGCATGGGTGGGGAAAGATTGACAGGACGTCTAAAGGTCAGACACAGGAAATAGGGTGAGCCTGAAGGTCAAGCTATATTTCAAGAAATGAAGGACGTCATAAATCAATAGCACAATCATGCAAAGTTATTTTCTATAATGGGGCTTTCTAAAAAGCTGAGGTGTTCGTTATTGTGTTACTTGAGGTGAAGCAAGGTCAATGACTTGACTTACTTGAGCAATCTCGATTGCCTGTTCTCCGGTTCCTCTGTCACTCGAGCCACAATGTCAGCCCTGTCTCGCATGTGCCATCCGCTTCTAGACCAATGTGTCTTTACAGAGTAGAGGCTGTCTTGCAGCCGGCATGTGACTGACGGTGATGACGTGTTAACTCTTACAGATGATCTGGCTCAGTGCGGAATGTACACAGGTGATGACGAGATTGAAGTCGTGTCCGTGGTGCGGACAGACCAACGCGAAGCCCCTCCGGCTCGAAGACATCGTGTTGGTCAGACGGCTGGCCCTGAGGTGGAGGCGCCGTTCCCGGGAGTCGGCCAGACGGAGGCGCGCACAGCTGCTGCCCGTCACGGTGGTCTGGGACGACATCAACGAACCAGACGCACGGCATGATTGAATCATAGCCATTGACCAATCAGATATCCCCGTCCGCCTGTGTTGAAACGTAGAAATGCAAATTAGAAAAACACGTACTGCAACTATGCGATGGATATCTAGCCAATGTCTCATTGGTCAAACCGATAATTGCCATGCTGTCATTGGCTATTAACAGTGCAGGCCAGCCCTGAGCGGTACTTTACTCTGTGCACATGTATTAGATCAAATCCGTGTGAGCCCTATGGGTTCTATAAATATAGAGTATTATATTCAAGTGACAGTTTTAGCATGAAAGTTCTGTGTTGGTAGTTACATGTTTAAAGTTAAAACTTTTGTTCACAACAAGAGATTGTTGTCACTTTCGACCAGTCACCCCAGTGAGAACAATCTGTGTTGAAACAGAAGTTTTAAACTTTAAATTAAAGTTTTAAACTTTCAACAGTCAAGTGTTATAATTTATATGTATTTGTTTAAAGCAAGCCTACATTTGGTCTGCCATGACTGCTTCTTTGTTTGTTTGTTTGTTTGTTTGTTTGTTTGTTTGCACGTACATTCGTCAAAACGATTTGTGCTTGCAGGTTTGAAATCGATTGTTTATCGAGCCACTTTTTGTTTATGATATGATCATTTATGTGCACATGCATTCATTGTTTGTTTGTTTGAACTTTCGTTTATTTATGAAATACTCAAATCAGCCCGCTTTTTATTGAAGTAATGAGGGAAGAGGTCAGACAAACTATATCTTGAAAGTTTGATGCAATTCAACTAATAAAATCCACCGTGAGTTTTTCTACTTCTTTGTTTCAATCATTCAAGTCTCACCATTTGTAGTTGTATCTTTTTACCTATGCACAAAGTAACACAGGTACAATGGCCAGGTAGCACCAATAACTGCTATGACAATATCAATCATTGAAGTCCAACCGTGCACATTATTTTCCATAGTATACAGCTTTGTTTGCGTCAATAAATCACGTAGTGACTGCGACGAATTTCTACTGTAATATGTTATCAGAATCTATCCCGACAAAGGTGATGTGCTTCAAAAGGACTTATCAATCATGCACGCTATAAAAAAAGGTAAATGCATAAGACTGCGTGGGGAGGTCATATTAATAAAGGCTTGTAACAGGCATAATTTTGACAAGCTTTACAATCTTCTAGTAAGTCTTTAGATACTTGTCAGGTCACCACGATAAAGCATCTCGGGCATTTGGCAACCTAACTCTTAGCAAATGACGATTTTTTTTCTCAGATCCTTTCCATAAGGCAATATATACCCCATGGTATGTTTCTAACCAAATGATGCTGACACGATATCAAAATTGTGCCATACTCAGGTTCCTTGCATCCACATACACACAAATCATTCATCTGCATTTCTTAGCATGCTTTGTATGTCTTTAATCTTTTTGCGCCTGCAATAAGAGAGTATGCAACATAACTCTAACCACATGCCATATACTCCATACCATAATTCCGAATAAAGCAACACTTCACCTCTACACGTGTCCTAGCCTATTTCTTGTGATACTATTTTTATGAATTCGTTATAAAACAGATTTCATAAATTGGGGGCATTAGCAAGCTGCCAATAATGAATAAGGAAGTAAGAAAATAAGGATATTACGTAATGTCATGAAATCGGGTGGGCTCATAATTTCACAACCTCTCCCATATATCTGTTATTGATGAATGGGAAAATTGGAGTTGATGGTGTGTAAGCCCGGCCTTGTGTGGCGTGACAGCGCTACGATACGGTTGACGACACGCTTTTGTGTAAGAGTCTATTTGTTTCACAAACAGGACACAGAAGTGCTCTAGCAGTGCATCAGTTACGGAATGTAATCAACACAACGACTGGATGCAGACAAGGCACCGTGGACAAGGAAGGGGACGGTCACTAGCATATCTTCATGGAGTATTTTTGGAGCCTAAAGTTTGGTCTTTGTTTTATTTAATTGTCCAGAGGCACCAATTGATCATTCCCTACCGATAACGTTGGGGACCGACGTCCACGTTCACTCACCAACGACTGTGACTACGGTTTTGGTCTCTCTGTGAAGAAAATAGTTTTGATAACCATTCAGGCGGCGATCCATTTCTGTAGCCCCGCTACACAGCAGGAAATCTATCGGCCGAAGAGTCTGTGATCTCAGCGCTCGTGATCTCTGAATGATATTTCAGCAGTGATCCACCCGGTGTTCTCTTCATCAGCGCGCAATATTTTTAGGGATGAGCAGATAATCGCTAGGTCACCGGCCCCGTACAATTTGATAGGTTAGATTTTCTGGCGAAAAATACGCTCGTCTCCCTGGTAATTATCAAATTTAGCGAATTTCTGGCGGCCAACAAGTACGACTAACGCCCGTCGACTGTGCCGGCGTTTTACATCCATGGTCAAGCGTTGAAGGCAACATGTACGGGGGAAGAGTGAACAGTGGTGCTGCTACTCCGGATCTTCGCAAAACGTCCAGCAAGGATTTGGTACGACGAGAAACGACAACCAGACGACTTAGCGTTCTTCCATTCGTAAACGCAGAGGAAGAAGTTCAGAATGATACCGGAGAAACAGACCAGAAAGGATCGGGGGGTGAGGGGTGGAAACCGGCCTGCTGCAGCTGCAGTTTACGGGCTGTAGCCGTCACCGTGTGGCCTCATCTGAAAATAGTCATCCTCAATGTCGCGTACCTCGGATTCGGCGCCTGGGTCTTCTGCACGTTGGAGTGCGAAGGGGTGAGGGTGATTTTATATCAGTTCTTGGATCACTGAAATTCGTGCAACTCGACCACGAATTGTGGCCTGTATGTTTAGTCAAAGACGGTGTCACTAGCTGTGCTAATGTCACAGCATGTAGCATGCAGCAAACAACATAATTCTGTTCGTTGACTCACGTAAACTGACTGACTGTAAACTTATGAATGCATAGCGTAAGACAAAAACTGTCAAAACCAGGCGGTATCATGAGGATGAGAAAAATAGTCAGGTTACCAACGTCGAAAAGGATGGACAATGATGCTACCCTAGTGATCACTCAGCAGCTAACGTATTATAAGTTTATCAGAACACTACAATTAAACTAGTTGGTATTTTATGGTATATCCTCCGTCACATTTAAAAGAGATATTGCGGTGCATTTTTGTTAATTTTGTTGTTAGTATCATTGATATTTTCATCTACCCACAACAGCAAAAGGCGCGGCATCCAGACCTGCCTGCCAGTCGCCATTTTGTCCTGGACAAGTTACGGGCCGCGGCGAACAACACCACAAGTTTTGAGAACTGGACACGAGTTGCGGACCTGGAAATGGCGAAACACGAAGAGATGGTTGTCCGTGCACGACAAGAGTTTGTGTGGGGAACCAACGGCTCGTCCCCCGCCTACCTGTCGGACCCTTCCCGGGCACTGTTCTTTGCGGCTGTCGTGGTCACCACAATCGGTAGGGTTTCCCGCCTTATCCACAACACTTATGTTAAACGTGTTCGGGAATGAGGTCTGGAGAGTTCGTCCCTTTTTCTATTTCCAAAAGCCAGATGACCTCAGCTTTTCTTAAGCTTGAATACATGCCTCCCCCCTCAATGTTTATATCACATGTAAAGCAAAACAATACTAGAAACTAGAAAAAAATCATATCTGTCTCTTCTGGTCTCACGTACTTTTTAGTCGCGAGGTTTGAAATGATTTTCTCTCCTCTAATACATGTATCAGGTATTTTCCAATTGTATGTAACTGCAATGTTTTTGAAATGGTGCTGTCTGTTCTGATCGCACGTATTTGTCAATCATGTGTGTGACAACAATGTTTGTGTGATGAGAGCGTACGTCAGAGGTATGATTTGTCTGCCACGTGACCTTTTTTAACCCCTCAGAAAATGTCAGTCATGCACGCACGAGCTGCACGCACATTACTGGACTTTTTCGGGCCACCGAGTATACCTAGACACGTAGGACTCTGTTACAGGCTATTACAAAATATGAAATCAGAGAATTCAAACCTTCGGGATGTATTTGGGGGTACTTGTGAATGTCTTGGCACGACAAAAGAAATGGCCTCGTGTACTTACACGGGCATAGGACTGTAACCTTGCAGCCTGAGAACTTGTTAAGACAAGACCGAAGTCGGTTTGCGGAGAGACCAGTCAATCTGTAATCACAGCTCCCTCATACCAACTACTACATTCAAACACGTGTACCTACAAACACGCATGCAAACAAACATAGGCTATCATTGAGGCAGTCCCAGTTAATGCCAGAGCTGCAGCCGGTTCGTTAGTGTCGAGGCTACACACAGTCTTGAGCACGTTGAAGTTGAAGCCAACACACTTATCGAAAGGAACAACTACACATAATAGACCGTTGTTTGAAAGTGTCACCGACTAGTGTTTATCAAGTTCAAACACAGTAAAATTCAGCCAACCCTGGGGAGTTTTGCCACGTACCGTAGAGTTCATTCACCTGCGCCGATAGTAAAATTGACCTTCCCTTGGACTGACTCTTTCGGCCAATTATTGCCCCTTTTACCGAAATCTACGATCCGTACCCCCGGTAAAAAGTTCTGTTGGAGGCTAGCCATTGACCACCCTGTGGTAACCCACTGTAGGTTACGGCCACGTCACGCCCCAGACGACCGGAGGGCGCGTCTTCCTCATGTTCTACGCCGCGGTCGGCATGCCGCTGATGCTGGCGTGGCTGGCCGACATCAACCGCCTGTTCGGTCACCTCCTGCACTTCCTGACCAGGAAGGTTAACGCCGTCCTGCGTCCAGAGCTTCCCGCAGATAAAGCACGAAGGTGAGAACTTCTGAGGTTGTGTTGCGTAGCGGCAGAGTACTCGACTCGGAACCAAGAGGTCCCAGGTTCGAGTCCTGACATGTCACCGATCTTCTGCCCTTAAGTTAGGAAAGCATTTTACACGACTTTCCTCACTTCGCTCAGGTAAAAATGAATATTGTATTGTCCCGTTTTGTTTTTTCTTTTGAGAGAAATGACGAAATGAAAAATCCAGTTACTTTTAATTTCAGTTGGTTGGTGCTGGATATTCTTCTTATAACAATTGATGGTCTATTTTGTATTTCTTTGTATTTATTTACTTAGAAATATGTCCTTTGTAGTCCAGAGTAATTGTTTATCTCAAGGTTGCATGTCCGTCAACTGTAGATAACAATCAGGGCTTGTAATCATAGGCTGTTGACCAATCACGCGTGCTACTATATTTCCATGCGGTCAGAGTTCCAGTGTGGGTGATCGTGCTGCTATTGGTGATCTACCTGCTAGTCGGCGCTGGTGTACTGTGCTTTTGGGAGGACTGGACGTTCGTGGACAGCCTGTACTACACCTACATAACCGCCAGCACCATAGGTGTGTTTGGGAGCAATTTGTGTTGTGTCTAAAAGACCTGACTACTACACGAGGATACATGGCTGGCGTAATATTGGTACAGTTTTTCTCAGTCCACAATTTAGCAATTATGCAATTTTCCAATCAGTCAGGATGGCACAAATCCAGTCCAAGAAAATCTCAAAAGAAAACGACATTCATGTTGGCCTGAATGTACGAAATCAAAACGTATGAGCAGCTTTCCCGACTGAAGCGTTATACAGGCTAGGCATGGGTCACACGAATGTTTTCATTGATAACGAAAGTCTTCCCCTATATTGTAGCATATAGAATATGTGTCGTAAGTAGTAAGAGGTAGAGCAGGACAAACCAAATTGTTGGGCCAGAGGTTCTCTCGTTTGTGACACCTGTTGCACACTGTCACGTCTCATTATCTCCTCTGCAGGGTTTGGTGACATAGTGCCGACCAAGCAGCTGTACGTGCTCATAGTGTTCCCCTACATCCTCCTGGGGCTGTCCCTGGTGTCCAACTGCTTCAGGCTCACACAAGAAGCGGTAAGTTACAGTACTAGCACTCAGGGAGGGGGAGGGGGCACCGCAGTACAATACTATATGACACGAACCTTAAGAACGAAAGATCATTGTCATAGTTAAATCTATATCCCTCGTCGCTGTAACCACATGACACCTCAGTAGTGTTTTACAATGTAATTTCTTAAAAGAAAGTGATCCGGTAAGATATGAGATTTGATAGGTGAGAAGGTCTTGGGAAGACGAAGGTCAATGTCGACTTTGGCCTCCTGACTTTCGGCTTTTGCATCTCTTGTCCTGGACTTGTAATGGCCTTGATTTTTTTCAAAGTTTGAAATTGATAAAACGGATGAAATGCCGTTTCCCACAGATCCACTGGGTTGACGAGCGTTTCTGCGGCGGCAGGAAGATGTACCGGCGGGACGCGTGCCCGTGCTGCGGGCTGCTCAACATGCAGAAGATGCGGCCGGAGGACCTGGTCCTGGTGCGGCGGATGGCGATGAAGTGGCGCCGCATGTCCGGGCAGCGGCGCAAGCGGGCAGTGGTGTACCTGCTGCCCATGTGGATGGTTTGGGACGACTTGGAAGAGATAGCGCAGAGCCAGACACCTGCCGACTCCGACCACACCACAGCTACCACCGCCGAGCAATGAGACGTCTTCACGGCACTTCACTCACAACTTCCGGCGCGGTCACATTCGTCGTGGGTCGTCATACGATTTTGATGTGATAGAATTTGCAAACAGGTTGTGACAGAAGCAACCAGCGACAAGGACCTGAGACAGCCCTTTTCTGTAACGAGACATCTAAATTGTACAGGACACATGCACGGACAGGCCTAGAATACATTCAGTTTCGACCGTTAGACCACAAAAATCACAAGAAATGAGAAGGCAAAAATAATTCTTGTACTGTTCTTGGTCAGTGCCGAATGACCCATTTAAGTTCCTCTGTGAGGGTGATATGAGCGAAACACTATATGACGTCTGTATATTTTGTCACGGACATTTATTTATGATGTATACATGTATGTATATTTTGTCACCGACAAACATAGAAATTCTACAGTCTCTGGACTTGTCAAACACTGTCGACACCGAGCCAGCAGAACAGAACACAATTAAGTGCAAGGAAAGCTTTCTTGTTGGGTCATAATTGGTGAGATAGCGGTAAAACAAATATGGAGCACAAACACGAAAGATGCAGATGTAGGCATTATTTGTCATGTATGACAATGTTGACTTTTATAACCAGGGTTGTCCCTAGTGTTGGAGTGTTACTACTGTATTGACAAACACATACACGCAGACTTTTACATATCTATACGTGTGGAAATATTCTCCTGGATATTCGTAGTGACGCAGAATGATAAAGTAACCGAGAGAAAAGGCGATAGTCTCGGTAACAGGCCTGCCAAAGGTTGCACGACACCGGCCTTCAGGTGCGGTCCTTTTGTTTGTTTCCTTCCGGCCTTCCCCAAACACAGCCTCGGTCACGCCCTGAAACTAATCTACCCAACGGGGAAAGGTTTCCATTGTCCACAAACTGGCCTGGCCGGCCAGTGTCAGGTCACCCCCTCACACAATACACCACTTGCTGTATTAGACATTAAATAACGTCATTCCTGATTAAGTTCTCATAATCCGCCTTAATCCGAAGCGCAAACGAAGGGGATCTAGCGGTTGCTATGGCGACGAGCGGCACCTTGTTGGTAAACGTCACGTGACCTTTCCTGAGCCTGATTAATGGTTGTTATTTTGTGTGGAGAAAGGCTTAAATGATAAAGTTGGGTCAACTCGATTCGAGCGCATTGCTATGCATACATCACCATTAAACTCCCTTTACATACATCCTGTCATACTATAAAGGGCCACAACTCTGACAGCCTGTTCAAAGGACGTTGCAAAAGTTCAGTACCTAGGGAGAAGTACGCGGAAAGTCGATACAGTTGTATTTTCGCTGCCATCAATGTCATATTCTCAAATTTCAAGGTCCCCCTTTAAAACTCATACTCATACTCTAACCAGACTACTCTAGCAGGTTTCTGGAAAACACATTTGGTAGGTTTGGCCCAATAGCTATAGACTGTGACTAATTTGTCAGAGAAGTTAACCTGCACTTTCCTCGCGTTGTAAGGTGTAACTTACTGCAGTGGCGGCTAACTTGTCTGGCTAAATTATTCAGTCTATTTGACGAAATTTACTATATTATAGCAACCCAAGAGTCTGGTAGAGTCCGGTACATCAGCCCGGATGCAGAGACTAAATTGGGCAAAGCCAGCTGTCACAGGCCCGTGGGACCACCGACACTTGTAGCCACCGGTCCACAGGGTGATACCTGCCACTTCAGGTGCTCAACACTCCTGCAAATGTTTGCAAATGGCGCTCAGATTCCGACAGATAAGGTCGTTCTGTTACATGCTGTCAGCTGACGTCCCGGACACCTCTTACGTCTTACAGGCATGTTGTGTCATCCTGGTCTCAGACAAAGCATTCTGTGGTCAGCGAGCTCTGGGCGTTTCGCAATGAATGAATGAATGAATGAATGAAGCGTCACGTCATCGTGCATAACACAAATAGAGACATGTCATCGCGAACGCTTTCTTGTCTCACATGAGCTACAGCATATTGTTAGACACAATGGCGGAACAGCCTGGAGCGTTTTTGTAAATACAGTATCCGGACAACTTCGGTTTCTATGGTTGAAAATGAAAATGCAGGGTAGCAGTACTGACTACTGAGTCTGTAAGATTGTCCACTTTCGTATCCTGTTACCTTTGTGGCGACGCGACTTTTGAAGGGTCGAATTTGCTCAATTGGTTGGTTATTCTTCCCACCCTTCTGGACTTAATCCGCCCGGCTTTGACACAACTAAACCCACGAGTAAGTGGGATTCGGGGTTGGACGAGTTTTCACAAGTCGTTGAACAGATTCAGGTTGTCAAGTGTCACAGGGAAGGCGTCTGTCAGGCGGAGCTGGGATTAGCGTCACCGAACAGCGTATCAAACAAATAATTTGCACCATTGTGTCACAAACGGGAACACAAAATTGGTAATGACCGAAAATAGCCGAGAGGACGATTTTTTCTCTTGTCAGCAATACATGACGAGGGTGTCTGCGTGCCGAGAGAGAGCTGGTAAAATTTCTTTGATAACGTTATGGATTTTTCCTACGGTGGTCTCTCGTCACACTCAAAACACTGAACATTAGGAAAAGACGAAAAATAGAAACAAGGAGGTTAAACCTCATTCATTGAACCCAACCTAGTCGACTGTTAGAAATAGCACACATTGGCCGGAGGAGCCAGGCAGCCATAGAAATTCCGTGGGTTCAAATTGTAATTCCAAGACGGGCTAACCATTTTTTTCAGCATCCCATGGTGACTGGTAGACACTAGATCAACCCAAATGTACTCGTTGGAGCCCATTCCAGTCTGGATACATAGTGGTTAGTCCCCAGTTATGAAGAGTGACTTAAGAGTGTGCTAATGAGCTAATGAAGCCATAACAATGCCCCAGCGACTAATCCTTGAGCCAATAGACTCCAGGCATAGCACTAGACAAGCATCAATAAGTACGGCTGTCATTCTGACAGACATTCTCTATTGTTTTTGGCGACTGCTGTCAAACGGATTATGAAGTTCGACGCCCTTTGCCTGCTACATGTATTATCGTGTCGTTGTTGTTCTTGTTTTACAGTTTGCTCGCACCTGAATGCTACATGTACAAGACGTTCAGTTGACGTGTCATTCCCTTATCATGATTCTAATAATAATGACTACAATGGGAAAGGATCATACGCTAAAACGTTGTATTTATCAATTGTGAAAACATCCATGATTTGTTATTAAGTTGATAGTCGCAGTTTTCTAGTACAAGGTTCTACTGTTGTACAGTTTCTACCATTCTTATTTCATATAAAGCCCCATGGCAGTTCTTGTCAGACATCTCATATATTTTGTATGCCTTTCTTGCATTGTTTACTCTCGCAGTGTATGTTGTCACAGTAAGTGTTCCCAGATCTGCCAACACCCCAGCCACAACTTTCCCGGATTTTCACCCCCAGAATTTTGACAGCGGTCGTAATACGACCCCCCATCCCGGACACGGAATAGTCGAGAGGACCCGGAAACGTAAACCGAGCCAGCCAGCTTTTGGACACGCTTTGAGAGCACCAGCTTTCGCATATCTGCTAACAATAATACTACAAGCACTCAGTAAAGACGTGTGTGCTTGTGTACGACGTCCTTGGTTCAGAGAACCTAACACACCTGTCGCCATAATTACAGAGTCCGTCAATAAAAGACCTGGCCCTTCACAAAGGATCGTGCCGGACGGGAACATGTTTTATCTCACGTTGTCGTTTCTCTCTGTGAAGAATGGCACGGTCGAAAAACCGGTGCAAAAGAGAGGCTGGAGTCCGGTCGACTGGCGCGGTCTGCGCTGGCTGCACCTGCCGCGGTGTAGCACCGCAAACAAACCGTGTGGTGATAAGAACATGGCCGCTCGCGTTGTTTGGACTGGTGCAAGTGTAGGTGGCGAAGTTGTTTTTGTCAACGGTAGAGCCAATATGACAAAGAATACCAACATTCGGTGTGAGAAATCTCCAAGAAGCAAGTCAAAAAGTAGTAAAAATTGACGTATAATTTTCAGTCATTCAATGATTCATTCGTACACTCGTGTAATCAACACGCCAGTTGCTAGAAACTGCCTCGTTAGAGGCAGAGGTTAGAGGGAAACACGATCCTCTGCCATAGTCTAATGCCTTTCGTGCTGTGTATGTATGAGTAACTTGAGAGGTTCAAATGTACAAAATATTTGTCCAGGGCAATTAGAATTAACCATCCGCCAAGGACGGTATCCGACGTACCTGTCAAACTTTAACCTGTCAAAAGCGGGCGAGAAATAAACTAACGTTTCAGTGTTGACTTTGTTAACAAAACGTGCTCGGTGCTCCCTCCCCAGCTACTTTATACCGATAGCCCATTCTTTGTACCTGTTCATGTCTGTGGTATGTGGTGAGGGATAGCACGATATGTTATATAGTCTGTCAAAGTCATTAGCACGTGAAGAAAACAACAGTTCCGCTCACATCCACAGACGACGGACAGAAAGATGTGTTACTTTATTATCTTGCGAATTCAAATCAAGCTAGCAACGATTCTTGCACGGAACGTGGTTTCAATTTTGCTGGTTGACAAGCCGTAAGTATTGACATACTTTAGGATCCTGGTTTCCGATATTAAATCACCCCAACCCTGCCCAAGAATGCCCACGTCACTCTACCTTTATGTTCCCATTTGTTTGTTTACAAGTACTGAAACTACTACTCGCATTCATTGGGATATGTTTGAAAATGTGACCACATATATTAACGGATGTTTAATAGTTCGAATGACGAGGATTTTCCTTTGGAAAAACAAGTACTGTCGTTACAGTTGTCAACAGGCTCCGGCTATCCAATGTCGCGAGGTCGGAAGATCTGGTGACAAGCTTGTTTGCCAGGCTACCTGTGCCCACGACGAGAGCCGTGATTGGTCGGCCTGCAGGGACAATGACATTTATATGCGAGCACATGGCACTCAAGCCCCGCCAGCTGTCAAACCCGCACTGCCTCCCCGACGGCCGACCTCTGCGATCGTGCCCTGAAAAACAGCCGACTGTCAACCACCATTCGTCAACAAGATAGGGATTTTCTGCACTTGTCGTCTGATCGGACGCAGAACAAGCCCAGGGAAGTCACGGTTTCCCGCCACTAGGAGAGGTCTCTACCATTCTGACAAGCGAGACGAGGAAGGCATGAAAGCACGCCGCGGTAGGTGCATTGTTGTCTTTGTCTGTGCCTACCTGGTTAAGTCTGGGCCCCGCTGAGGCGCACAGGTAACAACGCCACAACTAAAACGATCAATCGGCCACATTCTAAGATTTTTCTTGACCTTCTTTGACGGAAATGTCCTGAGTGAACATGGCAGTCGTTTCCTTACGATATTTCCTGTATCTGAGGGAAAGGGAAGTGGAAAACAGGAACCATCGGAATGGGAAAGGTTGTTTTCTTTGTTTGACACCTGAAGTTTCCCACAATCATCGCCAAGAATAGACACGATCGCAGAGAATCTCAGATCGTCAGTTCTGTTGTGCTGATTATGTTATCGAAGCACACAGTCTGATTGTCTACGCATGTTGTCATTTTTGTCTTAAGTCTTTTTGTGTGCTCCCAGGGGATTGTAGGAAGTATCGGTATGACTGTCATTTACCCAACCGTCCTTTGTTTTCGTCAAAATGTCGTGGATCAGTCGGGCGGGGGGATGATACTCATTGTGCCCAGCTACAACTACCAAATCACACCGACACTATAACAACTGGGCGTTATTTTAATAGTGTTTGTGGGCAGGGAAGTAGGCAGGGCCTGTGGTGTTGTTTATCTTTCACCTGTCTTCGTGGTGAGTCTGGTATTTCCGCCCACCCCTCCACATATTTGGCCGCACGTTCAACAGTAGTTACTAGTATCATATCTTTCTCGACGTTGGTAACGGCTGTTTCGACATCAAAAGACGTGTTTGTCAGCCAGACAGCGAGGTTCGATGGTGGATGTTTTGTAAGTAGGAAGGTTGGGCCGCTAATTGCGAGACCACGAGGCCGTGGGCCCATTGTTGTCTTTGTTTGAGAAGTGTTTTACCTGCGGGGGTCATGCCGTGACAGTTGTAACAGTTGGTCGCCCCGAAATGTAGACCACGTGGCCAGGCCAGTTTTGCGGTATGTTATTTTCTTTGTTGGTTTGGAAGTTCAATTACGGAGAAGGGAGGGTAAAAATTTGGAGTACCATCTAACTGGTAAACAATGTTATTGTTTACAACTTTGCGTTCGATTTAATGACACCAGGAAGCTAAAACGCTACCCCCTCCCCCAGGTTTTGACATACAAGTTTTTGCAATTGTCCCATATATGGACACAAGTGCGATCCGAAACTGTCGTGACACTGTAAAAATCCGACCGCAGGGTGGTATGTCAAGTTCCTTATAGAATGCCGACACCTGTCAGCTGCGACCCTCTCATGGAATCTGACCATCCCGACTGTCCATTACAATTAGCAGTTTCAACCAATGATGGCATGGCAATTAGCAGTTCGACCAATGAGAGATTAGATACATGTCCGTCAAATATTTGCATCTTTAGGTTTCATTCTGCATTTCGACGTTTTGACGGATGTGGGTGGGGGCTATAGAATCAGTCATGTAGAAACAAAGCAGTTGTCAAGTACAATTTTTGAGCATAAGCTTTGGTAGAACACGGACACAATATATCTAGTATAAGGGACGAATCACTAATGAATTTCGAGAGTGTCAATATATTTCACTGTTTCTGTCCGCCACTTTTCCACATCCCGGTCAGCCATTCAACAAGCCTATAATGTTTCTGTTTTTGTCAATCGAATACGTCGGATCAAGGTTAAGTGCGGTTTATAGTACAAAACGGCGGACTTTGGACACACCCCGTCCGTCCTTGGATGATCCGCCCCTAAATTTCAAACACAACTGTGGAACGGCCGAGTTTAACAGCAAACAGTTGTATTGTTTACTCATCCATACAGATATAATCACTCTACCAAAAATTAATTTCCTCTAGTCTATAAGTTGCTTTTAATTTCAGCAACTTCTGTGTATCATCTTGTTGTGATCTTGTCACAGGTTACGTTTCTTTTAATTTATGGCAGCGGGTTTACCCTTTAATCAGCTGGGGGACAGGATCCTTTGGTATCGGTTGGGTCAACAGCTATCAATTTCCATCTGGTTTCCTTTGTCTCAGAAACGAGCTTTAATTGGTTGGTTAACAATGGGATGGACGGTCTATTGTTCTTGCCAAACCGTGCTTCTCTGATGAAACAGCATCTGTTTGAGCCACTTATCACAATCAGTTTTATTTTGTCTGGGAAATTAATATTGACCGCCCACCAATTATCATTGCTTGGTTAATGCTCCGTTCGCATCATGAATATTATGTTAAGTGTGTATAGTAGTGACCATCTTACAGTGTTGATTCTGTAATGCTATTTGTGACCAAGGAGGCTCTTCTAGATAACCAGCCTCCTTGTTGTGACGAAGACGTTGTTCAAAATGATGACACACATGGATGTTGTTGTGTAACCACCGCTTCAGAAACAGGAATATACAACTCAGAGCGTGGTGGATAGACTTCTACAGTTCGTGCTATCTAGTATTTGAAATGAAAGGAAATTCTTTAAAACTGTGTCATATGATGTGTGGTTTCATCTCATGGTAAAGAAAGGCGACAGAGTTTTGCATAAAAGAGTTCAAAATCAGTTAAGTAAGAATGGCCCCCGTTTCCAAGTGGTACGTCCTAATGTAGAGTGTGGCGTCATAGCCAGCCACATGTGACTCAGTTCCTATATAAAACTTGTTGACGGATCTCCCTCATTCTTGCCCTGCCATGTCATATAATTGTTGCGTATATTCTACCTTTTACAGCGTCCCGTGAAAACAAAGCCATGAAATACCGCGAAAGGTTCTACGGAGAGGACGAGGAGGTGTTCTCTGGGAGTCGGCGCCAGCGGCACTCCGACAGCACTCGGAAACGCCGAGGAAACCTCCCGAAAGAAGCTGTGCAGATCCTCCGGGCTTGGCTGTACGACCACCGCTACAACGCCTACCCCACAGACGCAGAGAAGTTGGATTTGGCTCGAGAAGCTGGTCTCACTGTGTTGCAGGTAGGTTGTTCACCTGTGCAGTTTTGACAGCTGCCACTGCTATGGATTAAATCTGGATTTGGCTACATCATGGCGAGGCGGAATTTATGTATTAAGTAAATGTTGACCTAGATTACGACATAACAAATGGCTCAATCATTATGCGTGACATTTGTCAAAATGAACGAGTTTTTTTTATATTCGACATCGAGAATAGGAGAACTACATTATATTAGCTGGCGATGTTTTCAAAGGTTTATCGGCCAAGGGGCTTGTCCGGCTCGAATTCGAGTAAATTTCGCGATGACAGAACACAGGGAAACCCGATAATTCCTTTTGTATCCCCAGATAAAGCTTTAACGTGATACTTGGTAAAACTCCGTATTGGGTTACAGGTGAAAAAGGTTCTTGAAATGGGCCTGTGTCAACGGTAAAATACAGGACTAGTCCCTGCATGGGTGGATTTGTTGAGTGTTAAAATGATGTTGTCCTTTAGATCTTGTGATGTTTTATATTTATCTTTATCATGTGTTGTTTGTTTATGCAGGTTTGTAATTGGTTCATCAACGCTAGGCGGCGTATCCTCCCGGACATGATCCGCCGGGATGGCGCCGATCCAAGCGAGTTCACCATCTCCCGCCGCACCAGCGCCAAACGACAGGGCAGTTACGCCGACACGTCCTCGGAGGACGGCCGGTCCAGCCCCGAGACGTCTCCCGAGACGCCGCCTTACCCGACGTGGATGCAGGAGATGCTGGAGGGAAAGATGAAGCAGTACAAGTCAGAGGACGACCTGCCGGGAAGCATGACGCCACCGGACTCTCCACATCACCAGCCTCACCCACTGTCACGTGCTGACGACAACTCCAACTGCAGGGAAGGATTGCACGAGGCTCTGGTCAGCAGGCTGGCCGAGAAACTGAGGAGACAAGACCGCTGGATCCACGCGCAGCACGAAGCACCCATCCTGTCGTCCCAAATACCCGTCAGCAGGCTGCCATCCAGCGCCACTCCTCCAGCATCCCTCAGCCTACGTCATCACGACGTCATCCGAGCGGACTGTACCACACAGACGTCACCGGTGGATCTGACGACACAGAGAAAAGAAGTCTGCACTTCTTGTATGCTGGGAGGGAAGTGTCCAACACACGCCCAGCCTGTGGGACAGACGCCGCCACCGACACCCCCCCGGGGAAGAGGACGACATGTTCGGCTGCCTGCGCCTTCTCGTAGACGTGGCTGTGAGTCAGATTCAAGACCATCCTGCGAACAAGAACACTTCCGCACCCTTTCGCATCACCACCTAGTGCAGGGCAGAAAAGTGCAGGACAGTTGCAATGGGCTAAGATACGTTCCCGCCAAAAACTCCACGAAAGTTGCAAGTTACAAACAAAAAACAAGTTCCAAAGTTGCCACGTCGACTTGGCGGGGTCGTAAACAATGTAGCCCGACGAAAAACCCTCGCACCTTGGGACCAAATAAAGAGCATGTGACCATGCGCAGCTTGGAAACTGGCCAGTCCTGCCCCGCTCAGTATACACGGCATCCGGGGAGCGGCCGGGTCAACCACCGGATCGAGCACTGAGTCAATAAGCAAGTCTCAGACGGGGTCCAGAGGTTACTCCAACAGTCCAGTAGTTTAACAAAACATCTCTTAATTGTTTAACCGTTGTCTGTGTTCTTTACACTAAGTGTATATGTTATCAATGGCTACTCGGTTTTCTAAGCGGACTATTTTTTCATGTTTATAATGTGTTCATTTATAGCAGTGCTTAAATGACAATCGACGCTGTTGTAAATTTTTACAGACTGTACAAATGTTTTCTCTCACCCTGACTTTTAAAAAATGTGAAATTCTAATGAAATTTAGAGCGGGGTGTATTATTAATATTAGCGATTTTGTCTTGTGTAAATATCTTGCCCCAGTTAAGAATACGTGGGTTTTTCCGCAAGTAGACGTGTACGTACGTGGTGAAAATACACTTCAAAAACACATGCATTTGACAGCTCCATGTTTGAACATTGTATCAAGGTCTGTTGACACACCTAATCGCCCTCCCCCTAGCGTCTAGGTGTGCACTCTTTTGATGTTTGCCGTTCTACTTTCGTACGGCTCTGTTTGCACATTTCACTCGCGTTAGACTGGCGACAGTTTCTTCTCGTAAACAGTACACGACAGGTGATAGCCGACCAGGTAGCACACATGGTAAGAACAAAAGAACAAAACCCTTGTACAAAACGTAGGTTCCCCTAATATACACGGCAATACTTTGTATGAATTGCGATATGGTACGAAAAGATTCAAATGTAAGTAAAAGAATTCTTGCTTTGTGAATTTCTGCAACTGTTTGCATGGTCAAATGGCACCTTGTGTCAACAAATGTTGATCAATTGTGTATATGTTCCAGACGATTGGAATTTGTGTAGACAATGTTTTTTGGATTGCTTTCAGAAATAAAGATTGAGAGAAATATACTGTGCGGCTTAATCGTGTGTTAATGGTGTCGTTGGCCTCACTTCATTACTTTAGGACATAATAGGGGAAGTTCCATGTTCTGTATAAGGAATGGGTTATTAGTTCTAATTGTAAATTGTTCTTGACAACTTTTCATGTTGCCTCCCATATCAATTATGTCGCCAGTAAATACAGAAAGGAAGTCAAGAATACTAGACGGATAGCTTTATGGGTCGCACACGTTTTATGAGTTATAAACAATGTCTGCCGATATATTGAAATAGTAGCGTAGTTCTAAAGGAGTGAAAACAAGTTTTATCTCGTGCCCATGGTAACGACAGCTGTCGTCAGAAGTCCTGGTGCCGTGGTACGTGTACGGAGGTCTGTGATAAACACCTGCTGGCGAACCTTCTTTTCCCTTCCTGTTTTGTCGCCATTCCAAAACGTAGCCAGTGTAAACACCGACATCTACTTCATTCTCCGAGCTGATCTTTCGGTGGCAAAGTAACCAACCGTCAATACAGCATCTAATGCCGAGGTCACATTTCCAAACCGGGGCCCGGCCGGGCTGTTTCGATTAACGAAAAAATCAAGCCATCAATGATATACGCAAATAGTTGCCTTTATTAATTTATTTCAGCTTTCTTGTGCTTTGTTGTCTTTAATATCATACTTTTCGTTCCATAAGACTGCCCGGCCGGGCCCCGATTTGGAAATGTGACCTCAGCATAATAGGCAAAACACTATCCAAACACTATCCAAAACCTGATTGGGCCCACTGTCAGAAAACGGTACATAAAATGATGTTAAAATTTTCCCAGTAAACGTCTGCTTTGAGAGTGCGTCTATGACTGACTTCACACCATCCGCTGGATCGACAAGACAGGCAAAATAAGGGCCACTGCACAAAAAAGATCTTCTCGACGAAGTTTTGGTTTAGTGATGGGGGATTCTCATCAGAAAATGGACCAGCACGACACTAGAAGAAACGTTAAGAAGAGCAGAAAGCCAAGAAGGGCGGAGAAAACTGGTTGTAAGATCTTCTGTGATGTCCAACGGTCTGACAATTAGACTAAACAATAGACTAGATGGCGGAGTATCCCTGCATCAACAGTCTAACTGGTACTGACCTTACATCTCACTCTAGTCTATCAGGGCAAACCAACGTACCACACCAAGTCCCGACTAGTTGGTACTGCAGCGTCACTTAGCGTACAATGGTGAAACTGCAGCCAGCCACGAAAGGCTTATTTGACATGGAACCGTTTGTATACATGGGCAATTCTTTCCAATGGGCAATTTTAGGTAGACCGGAATGATTATTAACACCTCTTTAATCATAAAAATGATTACATGTAGTCATATCATGTGGTGTTGATGACGTCGTACGATCGCAAACGATCGAGGGAATTCTTTGGACTGTGACCTGCAAAATTCATCTGTCTTGTTACGGAAAAGGCTGTATTAGACCCTTGTCGGCGGTCTGCCTGAACTTCTGCCTGAAAATCCTACGACTAATGTGATCGCACCTTAAGACACAGATAGACGATTCGTCGATGAAGGCTACACATCCAGGTTGTCAGATGCACAAGGAAATTGTCACTGAAGCACAAATGGTCAGCTTTTATTTTTAAAAACTGATTTTTTTAAGTAGCATCCACTACTTTTTGTCAGTCACTGTCAGAAACCTGTCCAGTTGCTTGAGTAACAATTTCCTTGTGCTCACAGACGATTAGTGGTATGGGTTTCATCATGTATGTTACACCTCCAACCGACTTATAAAAATATAAGATATGTACTACTTGGGGTTGGCTGTGAACGCTAGATGGGTAAGTTTGCATGCCAACCTTTCTCTCATGTGCTGCCACACGCCTATAATATGCAGACGCATTATTATTTGTTCAGACAGAGTCACATAATTATGAGGTCTCCACAACAAGTATTCGTGGGATAATGATGACGCCCCTCTAACCATTGTTCGACCACATGAATATTTCATTAGGTACCTTAATCACTCATCGCATTGTATTGTAGCGACCAGTTGCAGGTTGGGTCTCTACGTGCCATAATATCTCGCGCACCAGTAAGAGCAAAATTTACTACCATTCTTTCCTGTTGTATTTCTTCAAGATAGCAAAGTAGCAAGCCATGTCTTCTGAAGAATCGCTTAAGAAGTCTCAAGAACAACCAAACAACAACGTGGACGCAGCTGGCGTAGAGCTAAAGCACCGGTCTACGCCGAAAGAAGGCTGGGGCGACGCGAAGTCCGACAGGCGGAAGAAGGTGGTGGGCGCCCTGAAGGCGGCCTGGCCTCACGTCAAACTCTTCATCATTCTTGTCATCTACTCCATGTTCGGCGCGGTGGGCTTTTGGCTGATAGAATACCCTCACGAAACAGCCCTGGTGGCGAACTTCACAGAAGCGAGGACCCAGTTGCTGAAGGATATGTGGAACGTCTCCCAGGTCTTTACGGGGGGCGACTGGACGGAGGAGATGACGATCTTGGTGGAGCGGTACGAGCACACCATCTTGGCAGCGTACGACGGAGGGATCGACCCTCGGGGGGTGACAGGGGGGCAGGCCGAGCTGCAATGGGATGTTGCCGGCTCTCTCTTCTTCTCCGTCACTGTCTTCACCACAATCGGTGAGTTAACGTTCATGGTATCATTTAAAATGTGGTCTTGTGTGTGAGGAGAGCTACGCATCCAGCACGTTAAAATACACCACACATATCTAAAAGAGTACGGCCCATCCCGTTGTGAGTGGATCAAATCTTACAGTGGGGTCTTATGTGACTACTGTACAAAACTGGTACATGATGTACTAGTATGTTACGCCTATGAAGTATGTTTTCACGGTTCTATACGGCCAGAAAAGAAATGTTTCAACACGACTGTTCACGACATTCGCCTTTCCTTTTAAACTTACAGTTTAATGTTGGCTTCAAATTGTGCAAACATGTGGTGCAACTTTTGTTAACCCATCTATTGGCATTATGAAAATGGCTTTCTCCCATACTACAGTAGTATTGCAATTTCGTGCATCTACGATGTAACTATTTGCACGAATTCAAAATCCTTACTTATCTAAGCATAACAATTGTTTTCTTGACGAATTGCAAACAGAGTACTCCTTTACTGTATAGACATTACAATCGACCAAATACAAGCTATACATATACCAGACCTGTCTCGAGCAAACTGAAGACATGTCACACCTGCAGCTTAACCCGCTCGTGTGGTTAATCGTCATATATCATCATCTTGCATGAGCAAGACGCGTAATAAAGATGTCGAGGGACAATGGGCTTGCATGCCTCAATGATCATGGAGAATAGACAAAATGTCAACTGTGTTTACCCTCAAACGCGATGGCACTAAGACCTTATTCAGGCCGTGGTAACGTAGTTTATACATAATGTCAATATGGGTGGAGGGTAATCTCTAAACAGATCTTTCTGTGGAAAAGTGGTTATCAACCGGCAAGGCAGTGTCCAATAGGCAAGACATTATCCTATTGGCCTTAGGTTAGTTACAGCTTTGTAGTAATTGACACTTGCTTGGAGATTAGGTAGAAGGCCTTTTCCGCTGGATGCAAGTCGTATGAAGGCTGTTACGGTCAATATGATGTGGTTTTGATGGGTTTGAAAGCGGCGCAAGTCCGTTATTGTGTTGTAGGTTGGAAAATTCAAGCGAGGCCACGGAGGTAAAACACGGGGCGCAGTGAAACATGTAAAACTATACCACATGAACAGGAGAGCAAGAAGACATCAAATATAGCTAGTGAACTGAGTAATTTCAATGTTTCGGGACTTTTTGTTAGAAATGTGTTCTATAAACAAACAAACAAACGAACGAACGAACGAACGAACGAACAAAACCAAACAAACGAACAAGTTGTCCGGTACGAAATCAGGTCTTTCGGTGTGATATAGCTTGCTGCCGCCGCGCCGCGTGCCTGCGAAGCTGGTGTGTTACGCCGAAGGGCGGTTATACCGGTTATACCGTTACAGAAACAAACAATAATGAAATATGCAGACCTTGTGCTTTCTCTCATGCAGGCTACGGACACCAGACTCCCGCCACTGTTGCCGGTCGGGTCTTCTGCATCTTCTACGCCATTTTCGGGATCCCCATCCTGCTCCTGACCCTGGCGGACATAGGCGAGCTGCTGGCGAGGGGACTCCGGTACATCGCCGCGACCGTCAACTCCAAGCTGAGACCCAACATGATGGAGTCAAGGTAAAGAACCGGTCACGTACATCGTGCGATGCACCTACGACTATTTTTGATGAAATCGTGGTACGTTCTAGTTAAGGTCTAGTGAAGAAACGGGTGCAATCTATGGTGTACGACACGGTCGTCGGGGAAAAAATAATAATCGTATTTGCATCATACGATGTATGTGATGGGGGCTTACAGATCTATATATGGACTATACCATGATGTAATGCACCGAAGGTTAAATCTGGAAGACGCCCTTTTCAGTACTTCCCTAAATGTCATCACAGTTAACGTAAAAGTCAATTGTCACAGTACTCAAGTACTGTTTGTTACGTTGCGGCCACATTCGCCTTAGAGCGCCCTATTTTGATGTCGCAGAACTTGCGAATTCAAGTAAGCTGTGACAAGAACCGACCGCCGCCAATAATCTTGGACAGCCCTTTCCGTAACAAGACAGCTCAATTTTGCAGCTAGGGAACATGCACGACTATTCCAAGAATGCCCTCCGTTTGCACTCGTACGACGATCGTAAGACGTTTGTGACCTGGCGTTACTAACATATCCCAGTAAGACCCATCGGGACATTTGCATATGGATCAGTGAAAAAATGGTGGATGTTACCTGAAACGTTTTGAATGTGTGTCTCATCCAGAAGTAGTGCTTGATTCGCTAACAAAGTTAGTCTTTTTATGTTTTTTTTTCTTAAATCTTATTTCTGTAGGAAGGACGATGTGCCGCTGTACGGTATCTTCATCGTGGTGTTCTTGGTGATGAGCCTCGGGGCCCTCGTCATGATGCAGATGGAGGACTGGACTTTCGAGCAGGCCTTCTACTTCATCTTCGTCACCTTCAGCACCATCGGCTTCGGTGACCTGGTGCCGCGCCACAAGATGTACTCCCTGGCGGCATCCCTCTACTTCCTCCTCGGCATGGCCCTCATCTCCACCTCCTTCAGTCTCAGCCAAGACGAGGTGGGGAGGCTGCTGAAGAAGTGGGGCGACCTCAAGGCGTCGTGTAAGAAGAGGGTGTGTCCGTGCTGCGCCAACCGGGTGGGTTCGGAGCTGGAGGTGGGCGGGGACGACCCTGGTGTCAGCGGCCAGGACAAGACCAAGCTGGTCACCAGGAAGACACAGATCGGCCTGCCCATCGGGATCATGAGGGGCGACGCTTTGAGCGAGGACAGGAAGGAAGACCGGTTCCATTGATACCAAACGACCAAACACGACGCAAGAGCAAAATTCCTCTTTTCAATTGTACATCTGGACGCAAATACAACGGGATAGAGTCTCCCGAAATCGAAGTCAGTGTGACATAACGTACCTTAGTACAACGCAAGTCATTTAGGGTTTGGAAAGACTGGCAATTTTGAAACTCTTATTTTGAAGCTTTCTTCATCTTCACGCCACTTGAAAGATCATTTTCACGCTGATAATGTACTGTACTGTTTCAGTCATATAAATGTAACTCTTCTTGACTTTGAACTTAAATTTTCCAAATGCCAAGTGTCTTTTATATCTTAAAAACGGCCATCGCTGCAGCAAGGAAACGGGAGATTTTCCTCGTCCTGATATGATAAGTTTTGCTTGTTGGATCTTTTGTTTACTAGTATTCGTGAAAAACTCAAATCGCCTGCTGGATACTTTTCATTGAGGTCACCTGGGATGAATGAGGTCATGGTCAGACAAAATATACCAAAGATGCAGATTTCATGACTGAAGTCCTGTGTACATTGAAGTATTAAGCATGCACTCAGTCTTAAATGGCCTAGCTGTAAGATCTTAGCATTGATATTTATAATGTAAGAGAGAATGTTATAACAAAACATGTACAAGCAGGGTATATAGTGGTGTCCAGTTGCTATTGGCTATACAATTTACATCATGTTATGGTTACTAGCGCTACATACAGTCAAGTACAATCAGTAAACCTTCGTCCATGCAAACCATTGGAAGTGCCTAGCTAAGATAGGACTTATAAAACATTATATTTCACCTGTACTATGTAGTATGGAGTGAAATATAAAAAAAAATGTAATTTCAACAGTTTATGGATATTATACCAAGTTTTATTGGTTGGCTAGAAAGCTATAGGATGTATTAGTATTAAGAATGGTCAGAGGGGCAAGTTTGAAAATTGTCATTGTCATTGTAAAATTATTTTGTGGTATTCATACAACTGTTGCTCAGATATAAAACATACTTCTCATAAAATATTCATACGTTGATAGTTTGACTTTCAGTTAGCCTTGTCAAGTATGGATGACGTTACATTTTTTTGACATCAGTGGATAAAATAGAGGCTTTAAGTTGTAATTGAGAGAATGCTTCATCAGTCATTGTGTAGTCAGGAACATTTGACGACCATTGTAAATAATTGCTGCATGTTGCACTCTGATATGTGGAAAGTACATTATTGTATGTCAGATCCAGTTTGCTCATACATGCAGTGACAAATGGTGGACTACACAGGTTAGCATTTTTGCATGCCATCTTGCTGATTCATTTACGATTCTGTTACTTTACAACAGATTCCTTGTCTCCTCTGCTGATGAGATAATATAATATAATATTTTAGCAACATTTTTTCTTGTTTTTGTGTACATTATTGTAAACTGTTTTGTTTGCAATGCTGACTTAGGAAATTAGAAGTTTCATTTAGATAGATAACTGTCTTGTCCTGCAAAATTTAAAACATTTCATTTAATTTCAAATTGTCACCTACAGCTGTCCGAAGATCACTTTAATAAATATAAAGTCACTTGTTTTACACATATATTCCAAAATAAGGTAGCTTAGAAAAAGGCTGGAAATTGCATGAGATGATGCAATTGAAACTTAAGCTAACTTACATTTATGTTCACAATGACTATACTCATAAACTTGATAAAACATATTTAAAATGAAGCACATTTTTGAAGTAAGATAACGCTATCTAAAATTGCCAAATTATCAAAATCCTGTTTATAATGTTTTACTAAGTTCTTAGACATTCAAATGCTATACATGAACATAAAGACAAGGTGAACGATTATTGTACACAGACCAGGTAAAATGACATTTAGTTTGGTTGAGCAAAGCCCACTTTGAAGAGTTTTGTACGTTATTCATATTTTACCACAAAAATTGCACAAAAGTTTTGCTTGAAAATTGCATAGATTTTTCTTGCCTAATATTTACTTCTGCTGCGCCAAGGATCCTATGCAAGTTTTATTCAATTGTGAATCTGCCTTTGCTCAGTATCTTACATGATTCAGAAATAACTTTTTCGTCATACATTGTATGTAACTACATAGTACTGTGTAGAATCCAAACTGAATAATAAAATGAACATCTATGTTAGGCTTTTCCCTCAACACCCATGTATTGATAATCAGCTCGGGAGGACTTAAAGTAAGCAAGGAGGTTTAAAAGCAAGTCTGGAAGACAGATAAGTCTCAGTAAAAAGACCTTCCTACATAATTCAACTATCAAATATAGCCAGTCAAGTAGTACTTTTGTGGATACTGAATAAAACTAGGAATTATCACTCTAATGTCTATTTTAAACCTTGTCCTGCTGGCATTTTTGCACAATATTTTTCAATTTAATTTCATGTCTTTATCAGGTCATAGACCCCTGCCTTTTTTTTACCCTGTGGTGGCAAAGTTACTTCCGCATTTGTTGCGTTTCGCTGCGGTGTGATGCGTTTCACGACAAATACCCCTAAATTGTACCTATATAGGGTGCTATACGGATGATATTGTATGTGCAACCCAACAATTGTTGGGTGCTGCAGGACTACGGTTAAGACATTGGAATGTGTTAAATTCTCATTGTAAAACTTATGAAGAATGCCGTACTGAGTCATCTATGTGATGGCACATCTAGATGAGAATATCTGAGTCATGTGCTCCTGAATCCACTCCTCCATTACACCCTGCATGTACCAGTGGACACACAGACTGTACCCTAAGCACACCACACCTAACGTCCAGCCCAGAACCGAGTGTAGACTGGGTGTACTGGGATGTTCCTCTCCAGAGGAGGAGCCTGGAAGGGAGACAAGCAACATTCAGAAATTCCTGCCCTTTGCTGCACTTCTGTGAATCGTGGACATGGGGCACAAAGCCTTATCCAGTACTCAGTTGAAATAGTGTTTTATCCTGGTAGCTAAATACAATGGATACCAGGCTAGCAAGTATTCTTGGATATCATGAAAAGCTCCAAGTTTCAACAAGACAATCTGAAAAATGCCTGAAATTCAGCATGCTCCAGGAGTCACATTCATGAGGCATGTTTCGTGCCTTGCTGCATTAGAGTCACATTGTTTAAATTTGTTGGGGCATTGCGACTGAAGAAACCTGGGGTCAACGATCTACAGCACACTGGTGGAACATACAGTCCAACATCAGCGTTATCCCAGCCTAATTCTGTAGTAACCACTATAAACTGGTTGAGCTAACCAGTAAAGACTGTTAAGTAGGGAGGGTTGTTTAATTAACACTGATGCAGTACAATCCATTTAAGATTTCGTTTTACAGCACAAAATTTGAAAAAATCACGGACCTATCTTTGGATCATTTAGAAAAAAGTAAAGGCACTGCTATCACGATGGATAGCCCCAACTTTGCTGATAGCTCCTGTCCCTAGACCTGTGCTGATTGTAACCTGAATGTCTCCAGCTCATGTGTCCATTGGCATTGTAGCCACCAGCATCATAGTTTGAATGTTGTTGGTAATCCCAACTTTCATAGCTGTCCTCTGCCCAATTTCCTGAATACCGGTAGTCTCTGTAATAGTCATGAGAATGGTAGTTGTAATCATATTCTCTTCTCCCATATTGACCAGAATTATTGTCCCTGTAATATCCATAACTAGAGCTTTCATAATGTCTACCCTCAAGAGCACCGCGGAAATCGTCAGCGCGTCCTGAGCGATGCCTGTCCCTGTCCCTTCTCCGATGGTCATAGGGAGTAAAGCGCCGCTCTCTGGATGGCGGTTGGTCCCTTCTCCGTGCTGGTTCTTGTTGTTTCCGAGGCAATGGTAGCTTGGGAGGCAAAACCTCGCCACTTTGTATTCTGTGTATCAATGACACATACAAGGTGTTACAGTTTGAAGTGACACATTAACTAAGGGCATGGCATGACTAACTAAAGTTTCTACCATCTACCTATACCCCCTAAGGTTTGTATTGGTAGATGCATTACTCACAAAGCACTTCTCTGCTGCAGGTGCTCCAGGTAGTTCTCCCTCTCCAGGTCATGTCCTCTGGCTTTATTGAAGGCTGTAAAACAGGAAGAATTGCAACATTTATCAGCAAAAGATCCACACTTTAGTAGTGTTTTGTATCCTGTTATACTTCCTATTAAACTACATTTCAAAGTTTTGTAAGACTGTAGGTGCCTACAAATTTTCCTACTTGTACAACATGTTCATAGTGTATCATCACGACCACTACCAAGTAGGCACAAAATTACTCAAATTGCAGTCAACAAGGACCATCTTGAGCTGCCACATTGCAGTTCATTACAGAACTGCAGAGCATTTGGGCAGTAATATACCATAATACTACCCGGTAGTACATGATATATACAGGCTTTTCACTAGTGCCATGTTGGAGTACAGTGATGTCTGTTAAACATGCCAACATGCTGCTACTTAATCAATTTACCCGCCAACACCTGGTCACAGGGATTCAAATGGTAATTATCATGACGTCAATGAAAAGCCTCTATACAAGGTGTGAACAAACCTTCTATTGCCCTCTCTGCAGTGAAGCCCTTGTAATCTATCAGATACCTGAGTAGATTAGCACAGACATCATTAGTACATGTACTAGTACTAGTACGACACAAATGCATTGCTAGTTTCTACTACACTTAGTTTCTACTACTACGCATTAATTCGAACGAACTCAATCATACCAGAACGAACTCAATCATACCAAGGATCAAATATGTATATACATGTACATGTATATATATGTATGTATTGGATATGGCAAAATCCCAGTGTTTTAGTTTATGATCTATAAGAGAAGAAAACTGAATGATGAAATTAGACAAAGGAAGTACTGAATCATGACTCTTACCTGCACACCAGGTACCCTGTTCTGTTTACTCCATGTGTGCAATGGACACCTATAAGGCTGTCTGCAACAGGGCATGCAAATCAATTACTGAGTATGTATATTTGTACAAAAATGTACATCAGTTATAATAGAAAATATTTCTTGCAATTAATTCAAGAAGTGCAGAGCATTTTGTGATATAGCATACACAAGGTCTACAGTGTTACAATGCAGGTTGAGGTAATTTTAGAGAGAGAGTATGACTAATAACCCATTGTTATTTTTTCACTTACCATCTTGGCTTTCGGTCTCAAAGTTATGCACTATACTTGAAAACCTGTTGTACAAAAAAGCAACTGTTATACAATAACTGTGAACATGTGGTGGAAGCTAAACTTTCCTTCAACAGTTACACCATCAACAGCTGGTGAAGAATTCAATGTAACAATGGTTTATTAAGTGCAGGAAAAGGACTGCTTCACATCCCTAAACAAATAATAAGTCATATTCATAACTTGGCACTAAAAATGCCAGAGGGGTTACGGATAAATTCTGTCACCAAACAACGTATTTTGGACTCACTCTTGCACAACATCGTCCGAGGGCACCTCTTTCCCAGCTGTGAAAATTTTCTCATATTTGATGCCAGCATTAGTGATGTCCTGTAGAGAGATGATACAGCTTTCATGTCAAAAACACATGTAGGACAATTTACTGGTAGTGAGATACTAAGAAGAAGACTTAGTATGCAGCACTATAGAGCTAGATGTTAGGCATGCTTGAGTGACCTCTCCACAGCAGCAGCTGGTATAACCCCTCCTTGGTGTAACACATCAAACTGGTGAGATCTAGAAAGCCACTTCTGTACTTGGTGGCCATGATAGTTCTAGCAACCAAGTACATGTACTAGTAACATTATAGGAGGTGCTCTCCAATGGAAATGTTGCCAACTCCAATGTACAAGTTTTGAAGACAAAGATGACAGAACTAAACAATGACAATTTCTTCAGCATGTAGACATGCAGTACCAGTACCTGTTTATTGTAGTATCTAGTGGTAAAAGTGAGGTCTATCACCATCCCCAGCCTGGCCCCCTGGTCTGATATACTCTGTATCATGTCAGGTATGGTGAACCTGTGGAAGAATACAAAGAAGTTGAAGATCTCACACAGCCATGAAGTTGCAGAGCAGCATTTGGCTGTTACTAGTGTTAGATTTTCTTGCAGTATATACTATAATATTTATCTTGGTGTCTCCCTTTATCAACTTTATGAATTATGATACAGTAAATCAGATGAGTCTAACAACAGACAGTGGATAGGGTAGAGAAAATGTCTCACCTATTTTCGCTTGGCAGATTTGAACAGATGCCCTGAAACAGAACAATTACAGCTTGAGCTACTAACGTTAGTAATTTTCCTCTGATTCTGACTATGTTCAATGTTGCTATGCGAAAGAAAATGAACACAAGTACTAACACTAACAGTTACACCATGACTTCAATATTGAATGCTCAAAACAACAGCCAGAGGTGAAAAATAACTTCCCAGTTCTTCAAAACTTACCATTTTTAGAGGAACTTTGAAGGAGATGAACCTTGTCCCTTCTATCTGTCTGCCCATGGAACTGTAGTCTAGCCATCTGTGCAGGGGGTCAAAGAGACCAACATCTTTACGTACACCAAGGAGCTTTCATCACAAGGAGGGAGATCGTGATGAAAGCTCCTTGCGTACACATACTTCAATGCTTTCTGGATTAAGTGGTGAAAATTATTCAAATGGCTTTAAAGACGTTTTCATGATCAGTGACCACTGTTTAACGGATAGTTCCTATCAACGGAACTACGACCGGATAATAGTCTCTACATGATACATCTGAAGAACAGGACTGCACCCTCCCCCTCCTATAGTCCCTGTTGCTTGTGAGAAATTTGTGGCCACGTTGAAAGATTCCTTCTCCACAACAAATTATGGTGAATAGATTCTCAACTATCAGTTTCCTGGTCCTTGTATGATCTTGTATATACTATATATATGCTACGTACCTATCTGGGACGCTTCTTGGTGCCATGTTGGCGCACTAAATACCTGAAAGTTTGGAGAAAACGACTGTGAAAGTGAAACCAGGGTGAAACCAGTCGTGGATCGCTCGCTCGAACACAAGTTTCGGTGACGCTGGACTAGTCTACTTTACTGGGGTTGTACTGACCGAGTTTGTACATCATTCACACAATAAAAGTAAAGTCTGCTTCCTCTTCATCACTAAAATGAACAAATAATCTACTATTCTCGCAGAAATAATATGTATCTCTATGTTGTGATCATTTTTTGTATACGTAGTAACGATATGGACAAACGCTAAAAATTAGTTACCCCTTAAATTTGAGTAATAGTGGCATCTTCTTATTCTGAGAATGATGGGAAATTCGTCATATTCTATTTTGAAAAGGGGGACACCCAAATCTATTAAAGTTAGTGGAATATAATTACCGTATAAGATTGCAGCTTGACACACGAAAACAAAGTAAACATAGAAAAACCTGTTTTTCCTTTGTCCGTTATACTAAACATTATTGATAAAATTGTATCAAGGACATTATTAGAATTTAGTCCACGATTTACCTATTATTCCAGATTGGTATAGTCCAACTGATGCCGCCATCTTTGAGAGAGCAACCGACACGCGAGAAGATAGAAAGTTGAGGTGATTCTCTATGACAGTCTCGTGACTAGTATCATCCAGCCAATCTGTATGAAGAGAGGGATTACGTGTCTTACGTAGATTATGAATATGATATAAGATTCTCAATGTGCTTTCTTCCGTCGAGGGACTAAACTTTGAACAAAGGGGGAGGGTAACGTTAGTAGAGTGCCATGGCTTTGCTTTGTTGACCCAAAAATATATAATATTTTCCTCTCCCTTTCTTTTGGTAATCGTGTCAGACGACAAACATGCCGACTGTTGCCGAGACTCCAAACGAGTTCAAGTTGAACAACTGCCCTGCGGACGGGATCTCGGCGGTGAAGTTCAGCCCGACCAGCTCGCAGCTGCTGCTGGTGTCGTCCTGGGACTGTTCGGTGCGGCTGTACGACGTGAGCGGGAACAACCTCAGGAACAAGTACGAACATTCCAGCGCCGTCCTGGACTGCTGCTTCTATGTAAGTCAGTATGGTTTAGGGTTGCGTGCGTTAACGGCAGAGCATTCGGCCGAGAACCAAGAGGTCCCGAGTTCGAATCCTGCCGTCACCAACCTTGTGCCCTTGGGAAAGACACAACTTTCCTCACTTTGCTCAGGTGAAAATGAGTTTGCCAGAATGATCATAATTATCATGATTGGGGGCATTAAGGGAAAAGCAAAATCAACGAAGTGTTCCTCTCAGCTCTCAGCCTTTACTTGATTTCGGCAACTGAAAAAATATTTAATTTAGTTAATCCAGATTGTGATTTTTAAAAAATGCTATACATTAAGTACGACTGTTGAACCGGTCATTTGATTTTGAGTGACTAGGTTGAATTTGTGCTAGCATTCAGTGAAAGTAACTTGCAGGAGGAAAAGACACAAACTTAGCAGCACCCGAAAGTTATGAGATTCACATGGAGGGTGAAAAAAATCCTCCATCCTTTATAAATTATATGGTGGAGATGGAGATTTACACATAGTTTTGGTTGATACAGTAGATCTACGTGTATATGCATATACTTTAGTACTTCTATCTGTCTGCCTGTTTACATGTACTTGTACTGATATGGTTTCTCCCTTCCAGGACCCTGTGCACCCCTACAGTGGTGGACTGGACCAGATGCTGAAGACCTGTGATCTGAACACAAGCCAAGGTGAGATGGATGTAATAGGGTCTGATTTGTGATTACCACAGGCCTGTGATTAACAGAAGGGGATCATCAGTGTTGTTATTATGTTTACCAAAGGAAAACATATTGTTTTTGCTCTGTTTTCTCTTTTTCTTCTCCAAATCGAAAAGGTCAATGACCTGAAACCAGACGTCTGTTACCATGGTAACTAGTGTTGGGTTACATCATGTTGCAATCTTATAGCAAGAGGGATTTAGTCTCCTGTCTGACCATATACAATGTATATGTGTTTGAGTAAGAATTAACAGAGCAGACGATATATGAAGGCAGCTGTATGAAGGTAAACATTATGCATTTGCTTTGCAAATGTTACATTTCTAGTTGCAGTGTTGGTATCATACAATGTAAGTACAACTCTTAGTAAGTTTCTGTCCTGATGCCTGCTTCTCTTGTGGGAAACAGAAACTGTTGTTGGGAACCATGATGCAGCCATCCGCTGTGTGGAGTACTGTCCTGATGTCAACGTGGTCATCACAGGCAGCTGGGACCAGACAGTCAAACTGTGGGACCCGCGCACACCCTGTAACGCTGGGTCCTTCTCACAGCCTGGCAAGGTAGGATCCTGGATCATTACATGGTCCTTTGGGATTTTTTAAAAACAACAAATCAGAGATTTCAGATTTACGAGTAGTATCCGTTCCCCGGCTTTCTCGACCCCTAATTCCTGCTGGTACCCAGCCAGATTCTTGGACCTTTGACCTCCTGTCATTCTGCCTGTCAATCCTTCCCCACCCATGTGCTGTCAACCTTCTCTGGCAAACAGCTACAAAAACCCATAGCTCATTCACTCAAAACCATACAGCCATACCTAGAAGTAAGAACATGTACATATTTCTGTAGATCTGTAGAGCAGGCAATCAAAGAACCACACTTGGATGTTCAACTAGGGAATTTTTTCTAAGAAGAGGTCACAGTTTTAAAGGAGCATTGACCAGACTGGTTACTTTTCTTTCAGGTGTACACAATGGCAGTTACAGGTGATCGACTGATTGTGGGAACAGCAGGCAGACGAGTGTTGGTGTGGGACCTGAGGAACATGGGTTATGTGCAACAGAGACGAGAGTCCAGCCTGAAATACCAGACCCGCTGTATCAGGGCCTTCCCCAACAAGCAGGGCTATGTGCTCAGCTCCATAGAGTAAGTAAAGTTGCACTCATGTCCATGGAGTTTTCAACTCCATAGAGTACTAGTAGGTAGAGTTGCACTTATGTCCATGGAGTAAACACTTTTCAGATTTTTAGAATAAGTTAGTACAATTGCCTCTGTTAAAAATTCAAGACAGTTGTTGGCCAGTGGTGTAAGTTGTTTTTACCATGGACCAGCACAGGTTACATACAGTTAGACATAAGAAATACCAGTGCCTGCACATTTTGAGCCCTGAAATGTACGACTGGTACATACTTAGTAGGTTAATAGTATAACCCCTCATGCTATGGATTTATTATGAGTACATGTTTATGGATTTGTTGGGATTTAAATGATGTAACTAACCTGTATCTTTTCATAATTTGTCTGACCCTGACCTCTTTTCCCCATGGCCTGAATAAAATGAAAAACAGCCAGTATTTCATGAATAGATAAAGGCTCAAACAAACAAACATCCAAACAAACAAATAATACTTTGTTCCAGGGGCCGTGTAGCTGTGGAGTATTTAGACCCCAGCCCCGAGGTACAGAAGAAGAAGTACGCCTTCAAGTGTCATCGTATCAAGGAGGACGGAATCGAGAAGATCTACCCTGTTAACGCTATCGCCTTCCACAGCCTGCACAACACCTTCGCTACAGGTCAGCTACTTTGCCTACATATTATAATAGTCAGTGTAATAGTACATCACCGTACTCTTGTCCATAGCTTTAAAGGCACGGTGGTGGAGAGATGGAGTACAAATGTATGTCATACTGAAAGATATTTAAACTACCACAAATATTTCAAGATATATTACATATAATTGAAGTAATCATGTAATTGATGCAATCAAAATTTCAAATAATTGACTTACACACAACAGAATGATAGAAAACATGGATGAAAAGAATGTAAAAATTAAAATGTTGGGCTTAAGAATGTTGAGCAAGTGTCTTTCTTCCACAGGAGGGTCGGATGGTTTTGTGAACATCTGGGACGGGTTCCACAAGAAGAGGCTGTGTCAGTTCCACCGCTATCCCACCAGCATCGCCTCCCTCGCCTTCAGCCACGACGGCAGCGTGCTCGCCATCGCCTCGTCATACATGTACGAGGAGCTGGACGTGGAACATCCCGAGGACGCCATCTACATCCGCAATGTCACCGATCAGGAAACAAAACCCAAGTAAGTCTAGACATGTTTACGCTTTTCACTTGATATCAGTGCAAAAGGTGACTTTATTTGTTTTAGTGTAAACTGTAATGGACTTCCTACCAGTTAGTTGTAAAACAATGGAAAATTGCAATAGTGTATTTTTTTAGTTGAGTATGCATACTATTAGAGAAATGGCAAATGCTGCATATATATAGATTGCTTTGAAGCCTTGGTCATGTACTTGTACAAGTCCAAAGCGCCACCAGGTAGTTTGTGTAGGTACTGCAATTAAAGGCCACCTTGTGGTGACTTGCACTGTACACACTGTAGGTGTTTCAATAGATGCCTGATTGAAGTACACTATGGATATCCCAGAGGTCTGAATCCCTCTAATATGGATACATTTGGTTTGCAGGACCTCAGGTTCAGCCTCTTGAAAGGAAGTCTCCTAAAAGCCACAAAGGACAACAATGCCTACTGTCCATATCAGGAGATGCCAACAAGTCTGGTGCCAGCTTCCTATTCATATAACATGTTCACTGATGTACAGTACATTTTAACATTGAGCATAAATATTTCCCCACACCAAGTACAAATTGAATGGTAATCTCTGCATACTACATTATCATATGAATCGTATAAATGCTGTACATAAAACCGGTACTTAGGGAAACTATAGGGAGGCTGCATAATATACAAAACCTTGAAGATTCAGAATTACCAACAATGGTGATAAATGTACTATACAGGTACATGTAGCAAATTCATTGACCTTTTTTTACTAAGAAATAAGTGTAAGAAATAGTTTGTGTAGAGTTCTTTTCTAACATGAAAAGTAAAAGATAAGTAAAAGCTAAATATTCCATCTTTGTACATATTTTATCACTACTATGACTATTAGTTCACTAATTGTCTCAGGTGAATGTGGTAGATCTGATTTTTTTATTGGTTTGGTACTAATAAATTTTGACTCTTCTTTCTGTACTTATTATAAAGAGAAGGTAGGGTAGTTGAAAAGGATGTAGGGAGGGATGACATGAGGAATTGTGTGGTTATACATTTGTAGATGTATGTACAACCTTCCTCTTAATGAAGGTTTTAGAAAAAAGAAATGCAGAAGTACACAGAGAATGACTGAAGTAAAGTATATATACTGTAGACGCACCCACACATTCAAAAGAATAAATATTTGTACTTGCTTTTCTTTTCCCAACATTATGTCCTGGTGTATTGTCAACATTTTTTCTTTGCTTATAAGCTGTCTCTAATGTTGAATAAAGTACAGTTGTTTACGTGATGTGGTATTGTGTGCTGTGTCAGCCTTCGATTTACCTAGTGTCGTGGTATTGACACCCATGGCCATTCATTCTCTGGGTTAAAAGGCCAAGTAGCTCAACAAGTGGGACCAAGCTTAATGAAAAAAGTGACACCTACATAATGCAAGTTTTGTACAGAAAGTAAATATGATACAAAGGAGATAATTTGAATAGTTTTGACGTGTGCAGGTAAGTTTTATCTCCTTTTGTGGGGATTTTCCTATAGATTATATCAGGCTATCAGTTACCGGGTAACGGTCAAATGTGCGTTTAGTTGCTAACCCCGTTATCTGGTTCCATTGTTTTGCCACCCTGCCCCTTTAGGCCATGGCTTGTTTGGTGACACAATTAACATCTAATTTATTGGTCAATTTCATGGCAACAAATTGTTGACACGGGAACACAAGTTACCTCTGCTTGGCACTGTTGCCACGGCCTGTGCACTCGATGGTTCAGGCCATCACAAAAGGCCAACATGTACAAGCGATCTCAACTTTTGTAGAGGCACTGGGAGTCCACGGGCAGGAGTGGTGCTTAACACAACTATAAACCACTCTACAACTGGCACCAGGGTTAACCTCCATGTTTGAACTGAAATTGTCAAGAGGAACCTTGGAGTACTTGACTTTGATTTTTTCCCCCCGTGGAGCGGATGAATATTTCAAATCAGCAGCTTTGCTTCTGGCTATTGACTACATTGATGATTGGAGGGAAGCCACAGTACAGGTTAGTCTGAAACATCTCATAGGATACAAAAGTAAGAATTTATTTCATGTACTCCTACCCTTCTAGCCAGTGCAAGTCCATTGATTTATAGAAAAACTAAAGCAAATAGTTGTTAGAGTTGAAGCCGTTACATCCTGTTTGTAGAGCCCTGCCATTAGCTGTGTTCTCAGCACACTGCCTATGTAAGCATTCAATTCTGCGTAACTTAGGATGCAACACAGCTGTATGACCCCCCAAAAATGCAATTTTGTTAGTTCGTATGGCTCCCCATAGCATTATTGTACAATTATATACAACCAGCAAATACTACAGCAAGTATCAAAGTTTCAGTGCAATTTAACATGGTTAAAAGTAACATTTCAAAGGGTTGTTTTGTTTTGGATGGGTTTATCTGTGGGTGGGTGTTTTTGGACAGTAGGTTGACAGCATGTAGGTGGGGGAAGATTGACAGGCAGCATGACAGGTCAAAAAGTCAGACACAGGAAATAGGATGAACATGAAGGTCACAGAATCTGGCTGTAAGACTGCAGGAATCAGGATAAGTCCAGACCTGATTTATAAAGAATGTCATCTCCTCGGTTGTTCAGAAACACAACACACATGTACATGACATGTACTTCCTAGAAGTCTGAAATCTCTTATTTCTGGTTAGTGTCTGAGATGGAAGACATCCAGGAGGACCTGAAGGTGCCTGAGTGGTTCCAGCGGTACAGGAACGCCCACCAACGTCAGCTGAGCTACAAGGACAAGGCCCAGGAACTACGGATGTCCTTACTTCAACAGGTAAGAACTTAGGACTAGATCACAGATGCATTTGCAGTAAGAGGGAAAACAAGGTTTTCACTGTGAGTGTTTTAACTTTGTGTTCTGTAGTACAGTTGTAATGCAATTCGCTGTGTCATGAATTTGGGGTGAAGAAGTCACTAAAAATAAAACCACTGCAAGAAATTCAGAATAGGAGCTAATGTCATTCTGTGTGGAAGCCACATACATCTGTACTTCGATCGTATCTATCTCTGAAGAATCTCATCTTAATTTAATTTACAGAATCAGCAGACGCTGTCCTATGCCCTGGAGCGAGTCAGGCAGGTTGAATTCAGCGGCAAGCACGCCGTCAAACCAGAACAGGACTTCCAGCTGGGAACAAACGGGCCAGCTGCCTTTCCCACGCGTTCCGTCTCAAACCGATTCCATTTCAAGCAGAAGTCGCCACGCCGACTTGATCCTATCAAGGATGCCGGCCGTACCAGAGGAGCAAAGCATAAGGGTCAACAGAAAGGACAACAGAGTGGCGAAGAAACTTCAGTGACTCATCAAGTCATTGATGCCTACAGGAAGATATTACTGCCCTCTTGTAGCATCCCACCGCTACATGGACAATGGTTGCCACAGAGAGCGACGGAAAAGTCATTAAGGAAAGGTACAGATAAGCAGACTATCATGTTTGTACATGGCAACCAAATGGTCTGGAACGCAGTGGAACAGCCCAATCAGACAATCCCCTCTGTTACAGAGTGACACTTAGATAATTGTGATCTTTTTTCACACAGAATGTTGCAGTGAAGTTTAATGAAAAGCAATTTTCTTTTACTTTGAGTCATAAATGCCATCTACCACAAGTGATGCCTCGTTAGATGAGACAACTCTCACAATGCATAAAAGATGGCTTTGTTATTAGAAAACATCTACTGAAATCCAGGTAAGCCCCAGCTGAGTGTAAGAGGATATTTCAGATTTCATATACTCAGGTTTGGGCTTAATATTAAGTATGTACAAGTTTAAGATTTATTTTGTATTTCTATTTTTTAGTTTAGACCTTACATAAGTTACTGTACTTTCTGTTGCATCAGTAAAGCTTCTGTAAGAGATATGGTTGTACAAAATGACAAGTACTCTTGTATAATCTTTTGGAATATTTTTAATTTGTTTCCACAGATAGAGGTCCAAATAAAATATAATATAAAATATCCAAAGCATCTGAACAATATGTACTACAATTCATAAGATGCACCATTTCTTATTTACACTTGACTATACAGAAATGCATCTGTTGGTGCAAGCTGACATCTCACTCCTGACATTGCAGACAGGTGTCTCTCAAATCAACTATCCTACAGCTTAGCTAGTCCTCGGTGTCTACAGGTATCCTCCCAACTTTCTTGAGTTGATTAGATCATCATATACTACTACATCTAGTTACTGTACACATGATAAGTACACAGCAGAGGCAAACAGTCACTCTAGTAGGGAGAACATTAGGGAATGGAATGACTGACTATCGGTATGTGGTTGACACTGGATTATGTTAATTATGTACTGGTAGTTTGATTTGTGTTTTTTTATGGATTGGCAATAAAAAGACTTTTGATGACAACCATACATTGCAACATTTCGTTCCTCGATATATATGCACAGGTACACATGCCCTGAGGTAGGTTCATTCCAAGTAAAACTGCTCACTGATGTTTAGCACACACAAGAGCAATGATAAAGCATTAAAATATAACTTACACATCACAGGCCGAAACAACAAACTATCTAGATTAATGTACAGTTTTGTATTCATCATACTTAATAATATGTCTTTTAAATGTACTTTTTAAACCATTTTTCCTTTAATTCATTCCTGAATAGATCATTATTACATTTAGCTTTGTTCCAACATAAAAGATTACACATGATCACTTTACCAATGGCAATATGGTTTCTCTGTGCTCCTTTATCTCTGTACAAGAGTTGGCTCTTTTCCAAGTACACAACGCAGTTCATATCAAAATTTATCCACTATACATTGCAGTAGCTGCCCAAAGAATACAAATGACAAAAACAGGACTTCACATCACATAGGAAGAAGCAACAGTTTAACTTCTAATACACAACATACAATGTAGTTTGTGACTCTCACACACAACATAACACAAAGTTAACAACTATAATTCATGCTGATGACCATCTCAAACCTTACTGGTATTTCCGATGTTCAGTCAAACCTATGGCACAGCATAGATAGCTTAAGTTGTTATAAACATCATCTAACTCTACTCTTGTTTGTATCGTTACAAACTATGAAATTCTGTCTCCATGACTTACTTCTGATGTTTTTCTTTGCTGAGACAACATATTGGGAAGTCCAAACAACCTACGCCTTAGATCCCTTAGACTGTTTGGCCATCCCATGGCTGATGCTACATGTTCATGACCAACACAATGTGGGCATTCATGGCTTTGTACAGGTTAACTTCTTGCAACAGTCGTCACATACATGTAAATACAATACAAATTGGCCAAAGGTCTATGTTTGCCACAGTTCAGTACAATCCAACAAGGGGAGATATGTGTAAACTTCACTTGTCACTTTGTTAACACAGATATTGAATGATTTGTCCCAGCCATTCAATGTTTCGCTGCCAGGGGCATTCAGTAAGTTTTTGGCATCACCCAGAAACAAGGCACAACTCAAGCTTTAGGACATACATGCAAGTATAAAATGTGAAGCCTAACCTAACTTCAAAAAGGACATTGCCAGCAAAGTATGTTGTAATGATGAAATTTTGAGTTTTGGTGGATATTCATAAATGGCTTCATCCTTCATAACTACAAAATGTATGCCTGAAAATCTGAGTTGTGCCCCTTGTTTCAGTGTGAGAACTTACTGAATTCCCCTTGTGTAAGTTGTAGGCTTCTGCTGACGTTGCCCAGCTCAGGTCACAACACATCAGCCTGTCCTGACATGCAGGGGAAGGACGGCAGCTTCCACTGTCTCTCCCCGCCATGCACCCTGAGTGCCAGCCACGCCTGCCGGTTGGGCAGGCGGTACAGGTCCTCCTCGCTGCCGCTCACCGCCACGTCGCTGTCGCTACCGTTGGCCAGGGGGACTGTCGCTGCTGAAGCTCCCGCGGTTGACCCGGGGCCCGTACTGTGGCTGTACTCCGACACTGCAGCAACAAACACATTATAGAAATCATTATCACATGAACATACATACCAGTATGAAAGTTGACAGTAAGTGGGTGGGGGAAGACTGACAGGCAGGATGACAGGCAGTCAAAAGGCCTGGCATAGGGAATGAAGTTGAGAATAGGTTGACAGCACGTTGTTGAGGGGAATATTGGCAGGCATTGAAATGGGGCAAACTTGAAGGTCAGGAAAACTTGAAATACTTCCAGGAAGTCTCTGATTTCTTGTTTTAAATTAAATTGCATGCAGGACATTCCATCTACTCACTGTTGGACTCCAGAGTGTGGCTGAGTTTCAGACCACCTTCACTCCCCGTCTCACTCCTCCCCTTCCTGCCGAACGGCTGCTTCTTCAGCAGGGTGACGACCCCCTCCACGTGTTTGAAGGCGTCCAGGGACAGGATGCTCTGCTGGGCGTCGGCCGACAGCCCGCTGAACTCGGAGGAGACGAAGCTTCTCACACAGCTGAAGTCCAGCTGGAGCTGATGTGCACCGTGGTAACTGTAACAACAAGACTCAACCAATCAGTTTATGTACATAATAACAAAGTTTGGTTCTTGATTGGTCCATTCATGTTAATTAACAAAATAACTCACATTGACAAATAACTGCAATCAAATTTCAGTACTGTAACAGTAACAGTACCAGTCTGAAAATTAATGAACAGAGACACAGGTTTTTCAAGGAATTCTAAATTACTGTAAGATAAGCTATAACAATTCATCTAGCTGCTTCCTTTCATTGTGCACCTCCCTGAATTTGATTATTTATTAGTAAGTGGTTGATATTTTTCTGACTTGGCTATGAACATTTCTTTGATGTTCTGCCATTCCTTCTTCCTGCTGAGAATTACTAGTAGTACATCATATTAACTGTCCAAGAAATTAAAAAAACATGATTTTAATTAAAACTATACACACAGAAACCACCTGTGATGAACAATACACACCTGAACTTGATCCTCTCTTTCAGTATGTGGCCCAGCCAGGACTCCAACATGGCACTGACAGCAACTGAAACAGCCGAGATCTGGGCTGTTGTTTTCAGCTTGCTCACCCCCTCTGTGACAGGGAAGAGCACAGTCTCCACTGCCTGCTCAGCATATGTGTTGGGTTCCTCCGGAAGGTCTAGAAATACAGGAAGAAATAACTCGAGCCATAAACAACAAAACAATGACTACAAGGAAAACAAAAGAATATCAAATGCTTAAGTTCTCCAATTTTAAAGTAACTATTGGACACGTATCTCTTGTTTCTACCATGCTTTGATCTAATCATGTCAAAGGAACATCAATGACACTTTGATGATGTCACATCAGAGGCCATGTGAATCCCTGAAGGCAACAACATCTGTAGGCTCACACTCAATATTCTATGATCCTACAGAAAAGTTCAATCGGGTCAGATTCTGCTTATGACTGAATATATACATGTACATGTATGTCCAACCAGACAAGGCATAAAGACATGGGGAGAAGGGTATACAACCATGTACAAATGTACTGACAAAATGATGTAATGTATGATCATATCAGTATGTAACTGTTACTGTAGTACAGTTTCTTCCAAGTTTGTTGTCCTTACTTTTTGTCACATCCTTACTGATGTTATTTTTAGCATGAACATCTCCATATACTAATATCGTTGTCATTTAACTAAAAAGGTATGAGCCTTGACAAACAATTACTCCTTATACATTGTACATGTATTCTAAAATTTCTGTTGTGACTTTTGGTATCCAATGTGACCCAACTGTCAATCACACAGCAGTTATTTCCAAACAGTTGTAGTGATATAAATGTCCGTGTGAATTCAGGAGGGGGTTCAAGGTGAAAGTTATTCCAAGCTGACAGGATCGCCGCCTGTTCCATTAACTGAGATCTCTCGGCACAACCAGTGGTTACTTGGGCAGGAAGCTTTCACACCTGAGTGCACCAATTTCCATGGATCACATGAGGCAAGGGCAAGCCAAGGTTGTGGCGTAGGCGGCTTAATGAGGTTATTTTAAGGACTCACGTTTCACGCTTACAGACGTCTTTGGTAAGGTGATTAGGGAAATGGCCACAAAAATGGCCACATAAATTTTCTAGGAGATTTCCTGAGGAATCCATGTGTGAAAAGCTTTTTAATACATCAAAACACGACAGTCCCTGTGGCATCAATTCAAGCAGAATAGGAGTATTAGACTTGATGTGGAGTTTTATTCAATTTTTTTTTCAAGAACTGGAATTAGATTAAATTTTTTTCTATAAAAAAATAATCTTTGGGTACATTCCCTGCTCCTAAAACACAAGGGGACCTAACCTACGTTAAGACTCATCTAATCTTAATACATGGAATTGTTTGCCTCAATTGTACTTATCATACACATTAGGGTAAAATATAGTGTTAAGAAGATGATGACATGTAGTATTAGATGACACACAAAGCTACATACAGTAATAGTATTATTTTGTTTGGTTGGCTTTGGCCTAAAGAACAAGATTTAGAGCTAGAATTTTGGGATATGGACTCCAAAACTAGAATTTCTCCAATACACATAGGGTACAAATTGTATACATGTCACACATACAAAATGTATACACTGAAGGTATGGACATTACCCAGACTGCTCTTCTTTCTCCAGACCTTGCCGGTCGGCATACACTCCTGCCAGAAGTTGGTGGTCATCTTGGTGCAGTCCTGGGAGAAAGACTGACTCGCTGAACTGGACAGGCACTGTGGAAAAGTGGCAATACATGTATGTCAGTTCCAGTCAGCTGTCTATAGACCATTGTCACGTTGCTCAACAAGAATGACCTCATTTCAAAAGTACATAAATTCAAGACTGACCTCATTTCAAAAGTACATAAATTCAAAATCATGAAAGATTTTGAAGAGATTTCTGACTTCCATGAGGTATTTTGGGCTTTTATGAATTTATTGGAACAACTGATCACAATTGTGTGACTTTAAGTAGGACTAGGACAGAAACTGTGCAGGGTTGGAAGGTTGCTCATGCAATCCTCTGGTTCCTGAATTCCCCCATGTTGACCCCTAATTCCTACTTGCTCCTGGGCAGATTCTGGTACTTTCACATTCACCCCATTTCCTGTGTCTGTCTTTTGACCTCCTGACATTCTGCTTGTCATTTGTCCCCAAACCATGTACTGTCAACCTATTCTGTCAAGACAAGCACACACACACACACACACACACACACACACACACACACACACACACACGCACGCACGCACACAAACCCACCCAAAACAATACTTCCGACTCAAGAGCAAATTGGTTGACATAACACTTCCCCAGAATATCACGAGCTATGTAAGCATGTAAGTCAGAGTTGTCCTTACATGTAGCCCGGCGCTGATGTGGTTGAGTTGTTGCACCATGTGGTTCAGGCGGAGTTTGAGCTGGTAATTGGCCCCTCCTGATTCTGCCAGCATGTACAGCTGTCTGCTCTGCTTCAGGGACAGCACGGCTGTGTCAGTCAGCACCTGGGACAGGAAAACATGACACAGATCAGAGACAGCATGTTGCAAATACAGGTACGAAATGCTGGATTTCTTACCAAGCTTTGAATAAAACAAATCTATACATTGTCATGTAATGGAGATAATTAAGTAAAAAAGCACAGCTTCCAGCTCTGAGATGGACAAACATCAATTATTACCTTGACATAAGAATAAAAACTAGGACTTCAAAAATCTGCAAAGCAGATCTGCAAGGCAAATGCATAATGTTCACCTATGGTCTGCTCTGTTAATTCTTACTCAAACAATTATGGTGGTCCAAATCCCTACTGCTATATAATTGCAACATGATGTAATCCACCACTAGTTACCATGGTGACAGATGTCAGGTTCAGGTCATTGACCTTATTTGTTTGGAGAAGAAGAGGAAGATGAAACAGGAAAAACAGTATATTTTCCTTCTGTGAAGGTAACATAATGCTGTCATACCTTGAGATCTCTCTGTGACAGTAATAAGAACTTGTCCAGAGTCCATGAGGACAGGTACAGGTTAGTCTTGGTGCTGAGCCAGTGTGAGGCGGCCTGTAACGTCGCCACCAGTCGAGCCAGGGTGGGCGGGATGGACAGTAACAGCTGTGTCTGGTAGTTCACAGGTGGAGGGAGGACACCATTTTGTCCTGAAATAGTTTTAAAGTGTTGGCAGAAATATTATATCTAACATTTTGAGCATGGGTGCAAGTTAAAATGTATCATGGACACATGATTTATTTGCATATCAATCAATAGTTCGAATTTATAAACCTCCTTTTCTGACAACTCTCCAGTGTCACTGACGAAAGGTAGTGAATGCTACCTGAAAGTCTGACCATTTCCAAAATCATATCAAGTTGCTTGCTGTAACTTTGGCATTACCTGGATGTCTAACCTTCACCATTATGTATTGAGGACACAGAATGCAAAACTGTTTCAGTTTGTATTGTAGCCAAAATGAATCAAACCGGTTTGATTTTTGCATCATGAACGGGGCCTTAGCCTTACCTGAGGGATATCCCTTCTGCAGGCTGTTCTCCACAGATTGCAGAACACTCATAAGGGGTGAGCACACTTCCTGGAACAGTCGTACAGTCTGTGTGCCAAAGTCCCCCGGACCCATGGACACAGCCACACACTTGTCCTTGGCAGAGGTAGACAATGCCTCACAAAATGCTGCAGGTGTTCAGAGAGTTGACAATATGACTATCAAACTAGAGACATGTAAATCATTATAATATTTGAGGGCCTGAAAAAATATGGCACTTTCATATCAAAACTGACAGTACAATGTACTGTAAATTGGAAATGTTCTACTTGGTTTTATTTTTGCAGTTTTGTACTGGTCTATTACAGTGAAATCATAACACCACAAATTTATCCATTCTATAAATGCATTTTACATTTTGTAATTCCACTATATAATTACAGAATTATACAAGTGCAAACTTCAAATGCTGTGAAAACCTCAATTTCCCCTCTAACCATGAAATGAAACCACTGCGAGAGCAATTGAAGTTATAGAATGTACAGTAGCTTACCACTGTCCCAGTCCTGTACAGCAGCTGTAAGGTGTAAGCTGTGCAGTACAGGCTGTAGTGCTGCTACTGCTGCTGTCGGGAGGATGTCTACACAAACAAAGGGTTCAGCTTTAATATGATAATAACTAGAAAGGCCGACATTTGCTTGGGAGCAAATACAGCATATTTCAGTCCATCTCCCTCCCAAGCAAAAGTGGACTATTCCAAACTTACCCCAGTGCAAAACTGGCAAAGGTTCTCAAATAAATGAATTAAATAGTAGCTATATGAGAACAAAGATGCAACAACATTTAGTACATGTAATTTGAATCTCGAAAGCTTTACTAATCTTATTACAGGTATGCAAAAACTAACAATGATGAGATTTGATACATTTTGAAGGTCTTAGGCACATAAAATTGAATGTGTGGGTCATTACGCACCACTTAGGTGCAATGTGACCTCAGGTAACCCGCAATGGAACATTGTTCCATGGATGGAACCGGCCATTCTTTAGATAGAACATGGAACGGGTATAGCACTTTTGGCCCTTTTTTTGCTGAAAATAGCCATTAAAGTCCCCCAAATGAGTCATTTGGAAGTGATGTATGCCAAATACATGACTGCTATTCTGTAGACACACGTTCAAGGTACCCTTATACCGAATGTCATATCATTTGGTTGTAATACCAGGGCTCAGGATCCAAAAATCCATTTTTTTGTCGAAAAATGCCCAAAAAAACCTTCATAAAACTTTTTCAAAGGCATGTTTCAAAAAATGAAAAAAAAACATCTGGGGGTATTTGCCCACTCTACCTCCATGCCAAATTTCAAGTCATTTGGCTGAATGATGGCGGAGTTGAATCCCTCTGAACGAGTGGCAGGAGATTAGGAGAAGGAGAAACATGAGGGAACACAATATATTTCATCCATACCATGGTATGGACTGAAATATAATTAATAATTGGTGACAGCAAGAACTGCCAGATCTTCAAATGAAATATAAAACTGATGTTGAATACAACATGAAAAACAAATCTTGTCAAGTACTTCAAGTAATTATAACAGACTACTGTAAATCACTTTATATTTGCGGTAGCAAAAGTTCAGTGTCTGAGAAAAATGGACATGTTAGCGGAACTATATGTTCACTGTGGCAGCAGGTGCAGAAGAAAGAAAGTCGGTGAATTATTTGCTTGCAGTAATGATAAATTTGAGTTGTGACTGTTAAAAATGCGAATATAAAAGTATGGTGAATATAAAGTGATTTACAGTATACAGAACTTATTTTACATCAAGAATTCCCATCAAATCATATGTATGTTCTTCTCTTAATCAGATTACTTTCAGCATGCTAAAGTAGCCATTTGCTACCAAATATGTATTTGTTATGTACATGTAGTTAGGCAGCAGGAAGAAGAAACTAAAGGTTAAACACTTATATTGAATAATTACACAATTTCCTTGTTCATATTAAGCTCATTGTTTCCATTGGTTATACGAATGATTAAAAAATTGATGAATATCTCCAAAGTTCTGACATTGATGCGTTTAAATCTGATAATCATTGATCACGACGAGTCATCCTCATGACTGTGGAGGGCTTTCAGAGTGTGCAGCGTATTGGTTTCATCTGATTATGCTCAACCCACAAGATCATGATATCGAATTACACATTGTTATGACACGACAGGCATATATCATAAGTACATTAGGTCTAGAATGTTACCACTTGGAGGCACCTAGGCAAGAGAAATCAAATAAACCTGGCCCACAAGTGAATTTTCTACAAAACGTCAGCAAAAGACCATTTTGGTAATACACATTGTACGTGTAATTTCAGCACAAACATACATGACTGGCTATGTTTTCCTACTTCAGCTGGTACATAGATGAAGTGTTAGGCCTAGGAAAAAATGTTGTGTTTCTTGTTTCAGTCCTGAAAAAATTAGGGTCGGTAGGTAGGAATTTATCTTTCTCTTTTTTAGACGTCAGTGATATCTATATAGGGGTCCAACTTATTATACAATACAGTTTATCAAAGAAAAACTTGCATGAGGACACTTTTATATGTTAAAACCAATTATCATATAGCCGGACGGCGTGGACCAATCAGAGGCCCGGATACCCGTGCTGTTATTTCCCGATAACAGCACATGTGGTGTTATGGCGGAATAACAGCACATGTCGTGTTATGGCTGATACCATTATGTTATAGGGTATAGGGGCATGCGACTCTTTCTGTAAACCTTTGTAGCATTTTTCTGTCCAATAAACTTTTTGTTTAGCTTCATTTAAACTACAATTTGCATTAAATGAAATTATCCATATTTGTTTTAAAGCGTATAATATATTCGAATGTATTTTTATGTATGTATATATATTAAAGCTGTTGTATTTCAAACAGGAATTGTGTTGATTGACAGTTTGGATAGGCTATATGATAATAATTTTAATGCACTGCCTTTTCCTCGTTGTATATGGTGTCATAACTGCATGGGCAGCTGCCATAACCACCTCATAAACCACCTCGTTCGCTTCGCTCACACGGTGGTTTATTCGGTGGTTATGGCAGCTGCTCATGCAGTTATGACACCATATACAACTCGGGGCAGTGCATTAACCCTTTATTGTACAATGTTTATTCATCACTCAGGTGTCAGATCATGGAGCTAGATAAGGTTCAGCTAAAAACATTGCCTCTTGCGGGGGTCCACCCCCCAAAAAAAGGCTAGGGTCGGCAGGTTTTTCTAGGGTCGGTCGGGAAACAGGAAACACAATAATTTTTTTCCTAGGCCTTACAGGGCAATTATCACCTCATCCCCCACACCTGACACTAGTCATGAGTCTTATCAGGTGAGATGGCATGAGATAATGAGAACATGTCTGTAACACCTGTGTCACCCGTGGGCATGTAGGCAGGGTTGTAAAACACGAAGGTAACCAAATGTCAGGGGAATTCTCTTTCGTCATGCTTTTTCTTTTCTATTCAATGAATCCATTGGGTAGCATAATGTTCCACATAAAATGGTCAATCTTAAAAGTTGAGTCCACTTCAACTTCTCTTTCTACAGATATTTTGTATAAAAATGTGAGATAATCCTTCATACATGCAGGGTCATTTGATTGCCTATTCTGTATGGCCATTTAATTACCTATTCAATATGGTTTTGTGATTGCCTATTCAATGGATACACTCGACTGCCTATTCAGCACCAAGGACAGTGCCGCCATGTTTTTCAAAATATTCTGTTACATGACAATAACAACCAAAGGTGAAGTAAGGGAGTTATTAGAATGTATTACATTTAGTTAGAGATTAGAGGGGCAAGAAATGCAAGGGAAAAATACATGTAGTGCAGAATAGCAATTTGACTTTTGGAAAATGATTTATTTTTTGTGACCTTTGTCAAGTTCACCGGGCCATTTCTTGTGCCTGAACTTTGGATCTGCCTGACAATTTCCCCCATCCACATGCTGTCAACCTACTCTCAATTGCAAGTAAATCCCATTTCCTGTGTCTGATCTTTTGACCTGTTGTTCTCCCTGTCAATCTTTTGCCACCCACATGCTGTCACCCTCCACTAGATCTGTCCAGACAGACATACACACACAGTTTCACAGCTCAGCCACCACAGACAATACTTAACTGAACCTGGAAGTAATGAAATCAGTCAGGTCACACCAGTGCTCACCTTTGGCAGACACCTGGTTGACCATGTGTAGCAGTAACATGGCTACTGTCGGGTTGTACAGGACAATAGGCCCCATTCCTGTGGGGTTCCCTCTCCAGGCTGGCTCCAACACCATCTCTGCAAGGTTCGCGCCAAAGCTCTGCCACACCATCTGTAGGTACTTCCCACGCAGGTGCACCCGCAGGCTGGAGTCCACATTGTCTCCCCAGTGCACGCTCTTACGCCTCCGCTGGCCGTTCGTTGAAACTTCGGCATCCTCCCCGGACCAAGTTTCGTTCAGTTTGTCCGTCGATTTCCCATTGTTAAGGTTCTGTTGAGTAGCGGGTAACTTGTACTCACCAAAAGTCAAAGTTCTGGCTTTCGTGTTCCCGTCCGTTGCAACTACTGCCTTGCTGTCCGGAACTGACGGTTTCCTGGGAGCACGCCGTAAGAAGTTTGTGGACTTTGACACGACTTCTAGGAAGGCGGAAATGAGGTATTCTTCCTCCTTTGTGAATTCAATCAAAGGAGGATCTTCCTTGGAGAGATCAGGAGCTTTCATGTCTCCCACCTTTAACAGCATGCTTGTCGTACTACTCATTTGGCTTGCGGTGTCACTGTGGTAGTCTGAAGTATTGCTACTTTGACGACCATTTTGATCGTTGGGATAACCTTGCCAGTCAAACTTGGGCAAGCTAGGAGTTCTTATAAGGGACTGGAATTCACTGTTCCCTGCAAAAAAGTCATGTACAATCTTAGCTGCCTTTTTGGAGTGTTCATGACTGAGGATGAGAAGGATTCTCTGCAGTGGAATTGGTTTTACGCTACTGTAACTGGTATTGCACGTAGAATTAGACCTTGACACATGCAGGAGAGAGGAGGTGTCGCTGTATCTTGGTCTATGCCTGGAATGTTGGACCTGAGATACGAGGGAGTTGTAGACCTCGATGCCGCGGGCCATGCTCCACAGGCCTTTCTTTGACACTTCCCCCATCTCGCAGTGTGCAAAGACGTGCAGACCCGTCGTGATGAGTCTCTGTACCCAGTGCAGGGCTTCGTCCCGAATCTGCAGCAACATTTCTCGCACCGGTGCCAGCTCTTCCTGCAGCCGTAACACGCAGTCCCGCAGCCATTTATCTGTGTACATCCGTCTCTGGATGTCGTCCCAGTGCAGCACGTGAGTCCGTAAGTCGTCACAGATGCTTCCCAAGATTTCCAGCCGGGAGCTGGTGCCTTCCACCGCTGTCTTCGCCTGGGAGATCTCCTGCCAGACTTTCAGCTCCTCGTTCACCATGAGCTGGATGCTCTGCACAAAAGTGGTGGCAGACGATACTCGCAATCCACAGTCTTTCAGTAGAAGCAAGTGAGCTCTACTTTCCATCAAATGTCTCAGCTCGGAGTACTTCTTTGCGACCGTTGCCCCGTTGCGACAATGAATGAAGGAAACACCTTGATCGCGTCTTTGCAGCCCGATGTGGCCAGAGGAGTCCAACAAGCGGAAACAACTTCCCAGGACCTCGGCCGTCTGTTCTACGTCTTCTACCGCAAACACCGGCGTCGCTAGGGACCGTTCAGACTCGGATGATCCCGGTCGCATGGCGTCGTTCACACGTAAGGTGTACACGGGGTGGAGGGAAGCCTGGTTGAGGAGAAGTGGCCCTGAGTCTTCTAGACTTGTGACTGAGATGGGAGGGAGGAACTGAGGGGGGTTGAGGGTGATTCCAGAGGACGGACCCCCCCTCAGGGGAGGGAGCCTGGAGGGCCCCCCTCCTTGTGGCAGACCTTCCTCTCCCATGTCACATCTTTGGTTACTGTCGCCTCCTGAAAAACAAAATAATGATCACAATGTTACTGTCATGGACAAGTTAGGAAATGGTACAAACTGTGAAATCTTCCAGTTTTTTGCTTGAACTACTGCCAACAAAAATGACAACATTTTGATCTTCAGTTGGTCCCCGAACTAGAGTAATGCATGTTCACTTCTTACACGGCCAATATCTCATTCTAGCACACAAGGTTATTCTACTAACATGTCATTGATTTTATGTCAAGGTAAGACCACACGTGATACTCATATGAAATCTCACTTATTTGGACATACAACATGTAGAAATTTAAAGGACATTCCATCCAGCAGTCTACTTGGGTCTCTGCTTGTCAATTGTGTACATATGTACATGTGCAGATCAAGCTACAGTCAACATGGTACTAGTATCCATGTCCACTATCTACTGGGCAAGTGAAATATGATTCATATTGATTGTCATGAATGTTTCACAAAAGAAATTGTGCAGCAAATACTTCTAGCTAAACCACATTCCCTACAGAGCCAATTACAGTACTTGACAATACAACCTGGCGGTTAGTTTGTGATGTATAAATATAAACTGCATGCTTTAATTTGTGTGGTATGATCTAGAGTTGAGTCGTGACCAACCCACACAAAGTTTATATTTAGACATCACAAACTTCTTCTGCACTTTAAAAAAACTGGCAAATGAAGTTTTGAATCCCCCAGGGCCTGTACTTCTATTATTACAACTTAACTATTGTACCTTTTGGGTTATAAAACCGCAGAATTTATAACAATTGGTGAATTACATCGTGTTTAGACCTTACGAAAGTCGCTGTACTTTTGTTTTGTCAATAAAGTATATGATATGTGTCCAATTTTAACACGCTTACTATAGCTACAATAACCTACAGACAGAATTTTGCGTAATCCTTTCATAAATAGCAGGCTATAATCATTTACAAAATGTTAATGTAATAGCCGTCATCGTTCTTGAAGTTACTCACTTTTATAGCCAGAGCTCACACCAGGAGCTTGGCAATCCTGGCATTGAGCAAACATTGTACAATAGATCTATGTGGAGGTGTTCATTAACTTGGGTGGAAATGGAAAAGCATTTACAGCTATTTTTAGGTTATGTAATATACGAGGCCTTTTACTATAATTGTTCCCATGCTGCTTTTTAAACACAACAACATCCAAATGTGCTATAAAGCAGGTTTCTTCACCCAGGATTACCCTAAATCAGACTCATTAACATGCATGAAGGCAAGGAACATTATGGCTTATAAAACCTATATGAAAACATCACTGAGTCTTAGTAGAATCTTACTAAAAAATAATACATACACCAAATGTACTACCCTGTATATCCATCATACATCTACCTCTATAGTTAGTAAATATAATCTACATAAATGATATAGACATGTACTTAATATCATAGAATTCACAATTATAATTTACCATGAATGTGCATGTAATCTTTACCAGTAGTTGACCCATGTGTGTACTTGCACACAGTGAAGATTTCTGTTGGAATGAGCTCATCCTAAAGTTTGCTAACACCTGGACATGTCATTGATCTCACTGAATACCAGTAGTTTTCGGTGACGTCATCACTATAGCTGTAGAAAGAATGTTAACTGTCCTTGATTGGTGGCTACCTTATAGTACAGGTACCACTCTAATCTGTTAGGACTGTCCGGCAACCTACTGATTATGGAATAATGGCTTCTTGTCACGGATACAAGGCTTAGGGAACATAGGATTTTAAAACTACATGGACAAGTACAATGTAGTTTAACAGTGAAACACGTTCAACAGGTAAAACTGAGAGCGATATCCAAAGAAGGAATCACTAAGTCTTGTCTGCATACAGCACATTAACATATTTTCCGTCTACAAACTATGTATCCAAAACTATACCATTTTTTTCATGATCACAATAGGCCAAGAGCTATCTGCCAGCCAAAAATCATGTCATTGAGCTTATTAAGTGTCCAGAACAGTGTTGGTGACAAAACTGGCGGTTCTGGTGCAGTACCAACGAAACCTGCCAGGGGTTCCAAAATGTAATCATTTATATCATGTCAAATTTCATGATGCTCAATATTATCCATCCATAGTTTCTTGTCAAGTTATGATACATATTGCTAAACCATACATACAAAGACATACAGTGTAGTACAAACAAATGCTACCTAAAAGTTATTGTACCTTTAGACTAAAGTAAAAATGCATTTGAATTTTATGTACACAAAACTATTTCCGTTGCAAGTAAATATTATCGACAAAAGCTGGATAAGACTCTTAAGAGGCAATCTAAAACATTGTTTCATCATAATTACAAACATGTTATTTTCCCTAGTGCTTCAAGCATAGTTTGCCAAACAACACGTAAGTCACCTGTTACTCCATTTGACACCTAGGTGTGATAACAGGTGTGCTCAGTCGACACCAGTCTACCTGCTATCACTCCTATATGAACAGGCTGGGATGTTGACTTAGTGACTGTCAATACTCAATAGCCTTCCTGTCCCATCAAAGGCACAGTCAAGGCCAGATATATGGGCACTCACGAAGGAAAACACCAGAATGTATGAGCTGTCAGGATTAGAGGAAAGACAAACTTTGCAACTGCTTTAGGATTTGGATCGTGTGGATTTAGGAGACATAAATGTGAACATACCACCTGTCTGTATTTTGTTCTTCCTTTCCCTCGAAAGCAATTTATCTAACCGGGTATCCTTGTAGTTTCAACTTTCTGTGATATGTTTCAAGTTTGCAACATAACTCTCTCTTTGATATGAGAAAACTGTGGCTGGTAATCATTAACAACATCTGACACCCTGAAAACAGCCTAATCTGCTATTGTATTTCCTGGAAAAATGTGTATAAACATTCTTTCTTCAGTATGAAGCTCATCATCAGTGTTAATGGGTAAATCTATAGTACATGTATATAGATGGCCAAACTGTGCTTCCACACAACATTTAAGGGCATATTCTAACACTTTTCAAAAAAAGTAAAAGAGACATCGGAAAATCTGGTTAACTTTTTCTTGTGTTAGAAGCCATTTTAGCCATCAAAAATTTACCTTTTAGCGACAAATTGAATTTCGAAGTATCTAATCTATATCATATAAGTCCTACCTAGCTGTCTAAAATCATCCTAATGTAATCACCAGTATGGGGAATCTCCTGGGATATCAGTGCTCTAACAAGTAACATTCAACATGTAACTTCAATATTATATTATTGTACCGCCTGTTTCCTGAATAATATCCTTCAAATTTTCTACATGATTTCCAGGATAGCACCTTCCTGGTGACAAAATTAATACATTGTAATTATAAAGGGCTGTGTCAAACAGGCTCTCAGACTAATTACTTTGGCCAAGTTCTTTTCAAGTCAAAGCCTTGATTTGCCATGTGGTTGAGCATCATTCACTTTGAACACAAGCCATGAAACAGCTTAACATGATTCTCCTGACATTTTTACAAGCTACTTGACATTATCATTTTCCATTATACTGCAACTTCCATATCGAACACTTGCCCCATACACCCCTGGAAAGATCTACTGTTGAAAAAAGTAAATACTAAAGCCATTGATGTTACCTCCAGATTAAGGGATTTTGTACATAGATCTGATCTTTTTTTCCAGAAACCAAACCCATGTACTTAAAAACACTTTTTCATTTGGCTGGATGGAAATTAGCAGTACATGTATCTCCAACTGGAAATACAGATGCACTGGAATGAAAATGAGCTCGAGCTGTCTGAAACTAAGGATAAAGCTGACATTTTACTTTGTCTTCTTTACGAGTTTGCTATACTCTCCTTTAAAATATGTGACATTACTATAGCTTGAAACTACAAACAAACACAAGCTTAAGACTACTAAACTACTATAGAGAAACATTGATCTACATAAGACTGTCACTGCTTCCTGGCAAAGAACTATATTGAATGTACGCTTGACCTAAAAGTATCAAAAGGTAGATCTGTGTGTGCAGAACAATCATCAGAAGCAATATCTGCACATGGGTCACTTCAGCCCATTAATTTTTGAGACAACAATTCAGAGGCAAACAACCTGCGATAAGATCTAGATTTTACGATACCGTACTCTCCTACCATAATTTGCTCCTGGTTGTCACTAAGTCCTGGACCCCAGCGTCTGCCTTGACTTGCACTTCATGAAATTCGCCAGTAAATTGGACTCAAATTTGTCCTGCAGTTTGTTCCAAACAGAAGGTGTTGCCAGGCCATCTGTTGTCTCCCATCTACACGTACTGTTGACCGATGGGCAGGGACCTTTGCTTCAGCAAAGGTTCGTGTGTGTACATAGCAGTAGTGGACTGTACCATTTTCTCTCATAGCAAGGGGGTGAACATCTCTTATTGCCAGAAAATAGACTGATCCCATAGCCCCGCCCACCTACGTCAAAACATAGATTTGCAAAATAAAGACATAAAAATGCAAATATCTGACGGACATCCAGCCACTCTCCCATTGGTCAAACCGCTAATTGCCATGCTATCATTGGCTGAACTGCTATATCATAAGTGAGATTGACAGCTAGGATTGGGCTATTTGGAAGCACATTCAACATTTCTTAATCTACCAGCCCAATATCTTAGAACATCTAATAACAGAACATTTAGAATTTCATCCATAGTTGACATGAATGGCACACAATAATTCAACATTGCATCTTAGATCTAACACTGTCACCCATTTTCCTGGACCAATATTTCAACATTTGTATTCAACATTTTTCAATCCACCCCTAGTACTGCCCCTTGACCTATTTCTATCATGTTGGTGTTGTCGAGTAAGTTTAAAAATGACCTCCCTCATAAATTTTCCATTATGAATGATATAAAAGGCTCGGCCCGGCTCCAGATAATCCTGGCCCTAATGGAAAGGTCTCTGAGCTGAGTTCTTTAATGATAACATATTGTCAGAGTCATGGAGGGCTGAATTATTTAGCAGTCCTCGGGAACAAAAGCTATCGGTGGTCGTCACATGACAGACAGAATGAGGAAAATGGGACGTGAATGTAGCAAACTGGTGTTTTGATACCACGGCATGGAAGATGTCATGTGACCGTGTGTGTAAGGGTTAAGCTCCCATTGACTTTTGTGTTGAGCACAATGGGCCTGGGTAGTGAGTAACTGGATATGTTTCACCTGGGTGTGTCTCTTTTTGTCTAACATCTTTGTACCAACGCTAAAGCTGTCTTGTACAATATTTACATGCCATCTAGTCACCTTCCACCGATTCTGTCATTTTGGTGAGAAATATGTTATAATGTTTCAGTAAACTTTCTAGGAATTCATGTGAAAGCTTATAATGGACCACTCATATATACCACATGTAAGATACTGTATATCCTTAAACTTTTGCTGTGGTTTAACTTTCATGGTTTTCACAGTTACCCCTCCACTATAATATGAATCTATAAGACTGTGAATATGTTTTTGTAGACTACTATACAACAGAATTGTTTTAACCTTGAATTAAAAACAGTGTTTCTGTCCTTGCGTGAAATAAACCTACTGCAAACATTTCACATTTACAGTAGCACATTGCCTACAAATCCTAACACCAAATAAATTTGTTATTGAAATTCAGTAAGAAGAGGGCCATGGTCTGGTTGGACAACATAGAATTAACACATACCTCAAGTGCAAGGGGGATAGTGTACAGGCACTAAGTAACTATCATCACATTACAAGAAACTGTAACTATGGAATGCTTGAAGTGACATGGATGACTACTCAGACCAAACACCAGAAGTCACTAGAGATCATGAAATGGTATGAAGGACAAAGGAGGCAAAAGTCTCAAACAAAGCATGTGCACTACCCTGTATCACCAGATGAAAGCAAAGGGAACAGGTAAGGTACAACTTTCAAGAAGGAATTGTTTTGTAAACAATAAATGAAAATGTCAAATTAGGTCAAGAAAATATTGACACAAGAATCCATGGCAAGAAAAATAGCGAAGTTGTCAAATGCAAAAGAAGGTTTAGATAGAAGATAGAAGGCACCTATCCTGAGTGTGATTATGTTTCCCTCCAGTGGGAAATACAATTTCTATCCTTTGTGTTTCCTTTTCTATATGATACCCAGGCAATAAACTAATGTCCATCCATGGCATGATTGAGATACCAGGCCCTAAAACTGATGGTTATTCCAGTCAGACCAGGACAATTTGTCATTTTTTAATATTGCTGATCTTGACAGTGAAATTGGTACAAATATAAATAATAAATGCAGTTTTCCAGCATATAGGAGATTGATTTAAACTTGTAACATATGCGACAAAAGAAACCTGATAGGCCCAAGTGTTGCAACTGATACAGAACACTGTTGGTGGGCACTGGATCAGAGGTTGTGCCAGTACTAAGTAACTGGAAAGAGGCGGGCCACACAGATCTACATGTAGATTGACCATGTCACATCTATTTTGACATAAATTTGGGTCATCTAAGTTTCTAACTGTACATCAACAACAGAGTTGAGCGAGTATGATGATCAATGCTTTTCACTCATTCAACTGTGTTTAAGCACAAAAGATCTTCCGACATCCCCAATACACAGGTATTTAATTACCCGGTACTCAATATAACTTCTGCATTGGTCAACTCATAAGTAATACAGTTTATAGCTTTGGTTCTACTTAATGATGTTACTCTTACATTTTTGATAATCAATAAATAATAAGCCAACATCGGTTTGACATTTTCTATAACAATGATGTTGCTGTTACATTTTTAACAATTAATAAATAATCAGCTAACATAGGTTCAACATTTTCAATAACGATCTTACTCTTGCATTTTTAATAACTTCGTAATAATCTATTTATCAATCATCAAGAATAAGAGTAACATCATCATTGCAAAAAATAGAACTGTTGTTAGCTATAGATTATTGAAAAAAGTTTGTTGAAGTAAACTGGTGGCACTTTCTGGATATTTTGACAGTATTATTATGGCTGTTACTATTGACAGGATTATCTCATACAACAAGGAGCTCATAGTAATACTGAGGGGCAAATAATTGCTAGACTGTACTTTACATCTGTACCATAATATCACTGTGAGGGAGATCACTTTCAGTTTCACACCATGTTCTGATTATAGAAAAAAGAATATTAAATTTGAATTTAAATCCCAAACTTGCAGCTCGCTACCTATGTCCAAGTCTAAGGTTAATGCAACTTCATGAACAGCCTGACATCTCTACTATGATTGACAGCGTCAAGTCTTAATAAAGGACGTCCTTAACTGCTCAGCTGATCGTTCACGAAACAGGGATGATCAAGAATAATCAAAAATCATTACTAGGGAATAGATTTTTCCTTGACTTTGAGACACCTGTTGTGAAATTTGTGACGTGTTTACCAGCGAACCTGTCCGACCTATGGCATTGTTTAAAGCGCTCCAACAGACCGACTGCTTTCCTGAAACAGACAAGGAGGACAAACACTTACCAAATGAGAAGAAACTCGCCGCGGAGCGCCCAAAAGTCGGACAAATTTGGCGGTCAGCGACTTTCCGCCATGTTGTCACAACATGTCTAAATACCGCGGTGCATGGCGGGACAGAACCCTGACCTTTGCCCCCGGGTTATGGCAGTCACGAGGAAATTTCGTAATTTTTTGTTTCGTGTGAAATTTGAACGGATTTTAGGACTGTCAACTGACGTCTTCTGGTGCACCAGGTCTGTAACAACCTCTGGAGTAGATTGACATCGCTTTTGTTGTGGCATTGTCGTTGTTATAATTTTTGCTGTTATAAGGTTTTTTATTACGATACAGCTGAGGTTTTAGCTCTAACCACTGGGCGAAGTTTTGTGACGGACACTAGCACCATTTTGATATAAAAGAGCAAAATGGAATAAGTAAAACTTGATAATAAGTCTTATCTGTATGAAATGTGCCAGTTACCAAGTATGACTTTCTATGACAAAGAGTACCAAGGTCGTGGGTCATATTGATGTCTAATGGCCTTTCCAAACAATATATGAATTTGGAGGGGGGGGGGTTGAACAGGTCTAAATACTAAATTGCTACTTTCTCAATCCCCCTTGTAGACTCAATGTACAGTGTAATGTGCCATTGTCACCTAATTGGTTGCTTTGATTATTCTATTGCATTGTCAGGACCCCCCCCC